CAGGGGATGACATTCACGTTGTTTTGATGAAGAGAATCCCGAACAAGTCGAGCAATATGAGGCCGGGCGTTATCATGTTGAAAGGTAATGCCTGGGCCATGACGACGCAAAAACGGTAGAACAACAGGGCCGATGATCTCGTCGCGGTAGCGCTGTCCATTGAGATTTCCCTCTACCACTATCAAACGGGTCCTCTGTCTTGCTGTAATCCAACCCCATACCATAACGCTGCCGCCCCCGAGCCGATCTTCTTCCATAACACAATGATTGACGTAACGTTCACCTCGACGTCGGTACACTCGAATTCGTCCATCGCTGTGGCTGAGGTGAAAACGAGACTCGTCAGTGAATAGAACTTGTCCCCACTGTATGGCCGTCCAGCGTAGACTCTGTCTGCGCCACTGCAGACATGCTTGACGGTGGTTTCCTGTCTAAATGGGACGTCTGGCGGGTCTTCTGGCGACAATCCCTGCACATCTGAGGCGACGACGTACGCTTTGTGAAGATATTCGTCGAAGGCCAGGGATGCTTTTCGCTGTCACTGTTGCTGGCTGGAATCGATTTTGTAGGTGTGTTGTTCGAATCCAGTTGTCTTGTCGATTATTGGTTACGCGTGGTCTGCCACTCCGAGGATGGTCTCTGACTGCATTTGTCTGTTGCCAACGTTGCCATAAACACCAAATGGTGTTTCTGTGGACATTAAATTGTCTTGCAACATCACGTTGACTCGATCCTGCTTCAAGCATACCAATGGCTCGCAGACGCTCATTTTCGGACAGGCGTGGCATTTCGTAATGTTGAATAATTGCGTAATTTTGTTGTTTTTCTGAGTGGTTGTTGTCAGCACGATGCTAAACAATGCATATGGAGTCCCGTTAACGCACATGTTTTTATACCCATTCATGGGCAGTGAAATGCATGGGGCTTGCATAAAAGTTAACTTTTGCATGGAATGAATGCTTTTCTGTAGCAGTTGCGTTTTTGTAACTTGATTCCAAACATGTACTACAATATTGAAAACCAAACTTTACTTGTTTGAAAAATACACTAAAATATTGGTGTCACAGGAACTTTTGTTGTTGAGTATAGAAGCATTGGGGATAAATCCCAAAATAAATAAATAAAGTGCCTGAAGACAGGAAAGAGAATCAGCAGATCACGAACTGCTTATATTTTGTTTGCTGATGTATGTATCAGCAGTGAAACTAGAACTGTTGTCAGGTATCCTGGAAGATATAATTTTATGTCGATCGACAGTGGCACTTGAAACCTTGCCACCATCCTTGGATCCATCTGTTAAAATTGAACGATGAGTGTCATGTTTAGTTCGTAACTGCACATATTCCTGTGGACATATTATTTGATTTGTGTCAGATTTTGAGAGAAAGGTCTACTCAAGGTCTGACGAATTGCCAGGGAGGAGGAGTAGACAGAAGCCGGTACGGAGATCTGTGATATGAGGCTTGATCCAAATGGATTTTGTTTCGACAAAACAGTCAGAACAATTCCTCCATACAAGTATGAAACACGCAATGAAAAGTCTGGATTAGATATAGGTTTGTACGTAATTTAGTTATGTGCTGAAGGGATCATTTTAAACGGCGTTGTTTGAGGGAAGGCTCATAGGCCTCCACGTATAACTACGTGGCTTGAGTCCTCATGCTTTAACTGTAATATTTCATGGCAAAACTATACATTATTTCACTACACGTGGATAGAGCAAACTTTATTTCTTAAGTAAGCGGTACCTTGAATTGAAAATCCATTGCATTATTAGGCTGGTCGCAAGGAATTCAGGGTAGGAGAGTAGATAAATTACAGTCGACGTCTTTGAAACATCTTAAAATTCTGACTTCTTGACTCCTGAAGCAATTACGAATACTGTGAGCTGTTTTATACTCATGCTGCACGTGCATTAGCGAATCCATTTTGCACGCAATTCACTGAACAAAAGCAACAAGAAGCTTTTCAGTTGCACCCGTGCCAGCTCCAATCCTCCGATGGGATTTATTTGTTTGTTTTGTTGTTTTACGCCGCACTCAGCAATATTCCAGCTATATGACGGCGGTCTGTAAATAATCGAGTCTGGACCAGACAATCCAGTGATTGACATCATAAACATCGATCCACGCAACTGGAATCGATGACATGCATCAACCAAGTCAGCGAGCCTGACCACCCGATCCCGTTAGTCGCCTTTTACGACAAGCATAGTCGCCTTTTACGGCAAGCATGGGTTGCTGAAGACCTATTCTACCCCGGAATCTTCACGGGTCCGATAGGATTTAAAGTTTTAAGTAACAATATTTTTAAATCGAATCCAAATTCTATATATTCAATTTTGGTGCAGGTTCTTTTGCTCGTTAGTGTATTGGCGACTTAAGTAAAAAAGTTCTGTGAAACCCAGTGTTTTAGCATATACAGCGCCGTACTTAGTTTTATGGCTATTATCGAGGTTTCCTGAATTCAGAATTGAGGTCAAATGGGGTTTAACGTCGCGTCCAAGATTATTGCACTTATATAACGACGTGCACGTGTGTGTGGCTGCTTGTACTAGTCCAGACCGATGCCCATTTATAGTGCCACCCCACTGAGATATCATGCCGCAGTTTAGCATGAATACCCCACTCAGACACAATATACTGACTCCCAGCCGACCAGTCCTTGTTTTAGCCTATAAATATCGAGCACCAGGCAGAGTAACGGCAAGTACAATCTTTTGACGTCTTTTGGTATGACGCGGCCGGGGATCAAACCCCGGACCTTCCGCTCTCCAGGCGGACGCTCTACCACAAGACCACGGAGGCAGTCCCTGAATTCAGATATAACCCACTCAAAATATTGGACACACCTATGCCGCCTCATTTATCTTAGCTAACCCTCAAGAGTTCGATTTTTGTTTTGTCATGGAGAAATGGAAATAGAAAGGACACAAACACACTGATTTATAACATTTAACATAAATTTAACATTTGAAACTTCATTCTGAGCGTCCCGGTCCAAATTCAATTTAGGGGGTGAAATCCACAGGCAACCTAGCTCTTCACTGAAAACAGAATGTTTATATGTCTCTTAAACAAACACAACCATTATAAATCAATACACAGATATTACCAGTACGTGGTGGTGCTGAAGTCGTATTACAAGCAGGACTTGACTATTTCTGAATCTTTTACAAACATCTGAAAACATAATCAGGCGCAATGCCTTACCAAACAGAGTGAGTGAGTGAGTGAGTTATGGTTTTACGCCGCTTTTTAGCAATACTCCAGCAATATCACGGCGGGGGACACCAGGAATGGGCTTCACACATTGTACCAATGTCGGGAATCGAACCCGGGTCTTCGGCGTGACGAGCGAACGCTTTAACCACTAGGCTACCCGACCGCCCCCTTACCAAACAGAACAAAAACAATTATGAAATCCTGAAAGTGTTAAGGCTTGCCAGAAACATATCCCAAAGGTTGAGACAAAGAAAATGTATTGAAAGAATTACCATCAACAAAATCAATAAACACCATGTAAAATAAACCATGTCATATACCGGTTTACCCTATCGGTTCATTTGGTCGAAATCGGTTCATTTGGTCGAAATTATAGAGAATAAGTACTCCTCCGGCAATTTGAGACAGACATTTGTACATGAACCACAACATCAATCAAATGCTTATTTGGGAACATACTTGAATTGTTGGATTGGCATTTCGTAATAGCTGACGGACGACAAAGAAGACTTTGAAGGTTTATTGATAACAGTGACGTTTCTGAAGTTCATTATGCAGTTTTGCTTGACAACAGTATTAGGATCTATTCTGGAACGTCTATATTACAGTATAACAAAGAAGCTATCAATAAACCTTTTTTCTTCTTGGTGGGAACACATTTGATCAACATTCGAGAACTTTCTGATCTCAAATCGATAATCGATTCCCTTCAGCATCGGGTGCAGCAGACAAGCTCCTTTGAAAGCCCCGAGGGGGGTCACTGTTGACTGATTTTGTCCACGTTTTCTTCTTGTTTACACTGCACGCACCAATATTAAATGAGTGAGTGAGTGAGAATGGTTTTACGCTGCTTTTAGCAATATTCCAGCAATATCACGGCGGGGGACACCAGAAATGGGCTTCACACATTGTACCCATGTCGGGAATCGATCCCAGGTCTTTGGTGTGATGAGCTAACGCTTTAACCACTAGGCTACCCAACCGCCCCCAATATTAAATGAAATCAGGACCAGGGAAACTATGCAGTGACTGATATGAGGAACTATTTACTGTTTCTGTCAAGGCAACAATGGGTGGAGACCAGTTTTGTTTTCCGCAGTGATTCTTCTTAGATAAGGGGGATGTAACACTACTCACTCACATTCTGTTGGAGTTCGAAATAATGAAGGTTTGCACCAGTAAATGACATTCCATTTTAAGTTCAAAATATCCCACACATGATGTTAACATGGAGCGCAACCCCACAACTCGATAGCATTCTTTCATCACAGAAACTTTCTTTGGCGAAATCCATTTTCTTTCACAGAAGCAGATGCATTACATAACTGGGGTGGGATGGGGGAGAAAGAGATTGGTCTTTTATGTAACAGGGGTTTTTTTCATGCTGCCCTTCCAATAAATTACCAGTGCCTGAATATCTAAATATTGTTCACATCTTTAAAATATTGTGTTTGGAAAAATTGAACTCTCAGTTTTTCATGCACACCCCCCCTCCCCCATGTGGGACAGTATCTCAGTGATCCGGCACTATAAATCTGTCATTAGTCTGGTTGAGTGCAAGCAAGACACATGTTCACGTACATTGCTTCGTAAGTGCAATAATTATGAACACCACACTAAACCCCATTTCACCTCACCAACATTTGACAGAATAGCATTCTATTCCCACAATGTCATCCTCACAAAGTGACACTATTTCAGATGTATTCTGTACCAACTTTTAAATCTTCAAGTTGATTCAGAAACTTGAATCAGCAATAATAACACAACAAGCAATCTGTTTAAGAACATTTTACTAACAGTTCATCATAAACTTATCACAGTCTTTGCCAACATTATGCTTGTACCATGGTAATTACTTTGACATCTTATCACATGAAATAATAAACTTTTGTCCCATCCTTTAATATTTAGAAATTTGAAGCATTCGTAATGGTTTCAGATTCTTAAAAATCAGATTGAGTATCAAATCCTGACTAATAAACCAAGGAAAACCATTTATGTTCTGGAATAAACACTGGAATATATAGTACACCTTCCCTTCTACAAAATATTAATTTCTGAAACAAACGAAACAGCACTCTTCAAATCCTTGTACGAAATTCGAGAAAGAAAGGTCTTCTTCAGCGCATCGCAAGCTGCTGTGTGTGCCTGGCCGAAGACAGTGGTGAGAGTCAGTTGTGCTGCCAGTAGCACCACCCATTCTTGGATGTCCTGCAGGCAGACTGATCTTCCAGCTTGTATCCACTGCTGCGGCATGAACAGACACAACTGCATCACCGTGGCAGCAACATCCACACTTAGTCGCTGTAATGACAAGTAATGGAATGTTTGTCTTTGTGATGTTACAATGATCAGACATAATCAATGTAATGTACCTGTGTCCATAGTTTATTATATATATAGAGTAAAAAAAAAAATCAGCTTCTTAATCAAAATGTTGAATTTTTCTTTGACCAGTATATAACATGAACAAATGCATGAAGCTTTTCATCAATATTCTGAAAATGTCTGACCAAAATCTTTGACACATACATTCTAAAAAATACAGACAGAACTGTCAACTGATCTTATAATGACTAACAGTACATGGCAGGAGTGAAGATATATATTCACAGACAACAATGTGTTCTCTGAGTCAGGATAATAGTTCAAACAAGCTGACTAGTTTTACTTTAAAATCAAGATACAAAAATTTGAATGTGAAGAGAGTAAAGTGAGTGAGTGAGTATGGTTTTACGCAGCTTTTTGCAATATTCCAGCAATATCACGACAGGAGCATCAGAAATGGCCTTCACACATTGTACCAATGTTGGGAATTGCACATGGCCTTTGACAAGTTAGTTTTCCAAACATCAAAAATGTTACCAAGTCAACATCTTTCCTTTCATGATTAATAAATTGTCAACAAAATATACTGCTCACCTTTAAATAAAGATACCGAGACCAGGCTTAATGTAACAAATCTCAGAGGCAATAATTTATCGAAATGTGAACCTATGTTGACATGAAGCTAAAAGTGCCAGTTCCATGAAAAGTATGAATACTAACTTGTGAATGACAAGCAATCAGTCACATTCAGACACCCTGGTCCAGATTCGATTATTTATATAACGCCATCAAATAGCAGGAATATTGCTGAGGGCAGCTTTGAACAACAAACAACAACAGTCACATACAGCATGTACAGTACCCACATCAAAGGATGAGTAAAAGGTTATCTTCCCCAGGCAAGGGAGTTAACAGGCTATAAAAGTCAAGTTTCCACACTTGCATAGCTCCACCAGTGGTTATTATGAATCATGTCCCTCCTACTGACCAATCAGATTGCACCTCTCGTTTCACTTGCATCTGCGGCACCATGCAGCCGAGACAATCAGATCAAGTTACAGACACCCAGTGCACGTTGATTGTTGCACAACACTTGAGCACGTTGATTAAAAACATGAAAATACTGGAAAATATCTGTCAATGCCAAGTTGAAGTTACATATGATTTGCAAATCCTGGATTCAAACGAAATCTCCAAAGCAGTCACCATGTAGTTTACACACTGGATAACGATTTCATGACGCGATTTTGATCAGACTGTTAGTCCAGCCAAAATATAAGTCCAGCCAATTTCGGCAAGGGATGAAACAGGACTTTTATAGTCAGTTAACTCCCTTGCCTCTGGAAGATGGGGAAAAGGAGACACAACTCTCAACATTTGCAAGGAAAATGCTGACATAAGTGGTCTTTATCGCTTTATCTGAGAAGAGTCTCTGAAGGTTAACTTGCCGAGTCACATGTTGATCATGTGACAAGAGACTATCCTTACCCTTGCAGGATCTCGACAGAGAAGGTTCCTGACCAGATGCTTAATAGCCACAGGGACATCATCTGTTTAACAAAGTTACATTATATGATTAATTAATTATCACATTGTATTTCATAATTAGCATAATCAAAGAAAAGCAAATTCAACTGTTAACTTTGCATCAGCTTTAGACCATAAATAGGAATATTATCAAGTTTACAGTTTCCAAGGACTATCATCTCGTTCATATTAAGACAATTGAAGCTGCATCAATAAGTGCACTCAACATCTAACAAGGTGAGCGAAACATGGCCAACGAAGGCAGTTATTTAGCATTGCTTTCTTCAATCAATCAATCTTTATTTCAAGTACTGAAAAGGGCATAGGCCTATAGTACATATACACATACAGTAGCGATGTGTGCAATAGGAATTACATATATCGTAACTAAATATCACCTCTATAGTACAGAGGATCTGATGTTCATAGCATGATATATATACATGGCAAGATATTTCGTGACCATTTCATTTTGAGATGACATGAGGATATAAAATTTGTCTATTCTAGGATTCAGATAAAAATATGTATGTATGTATTCTTTTCTGATATTTGCATACAATGGACAGACTAGCAAAAAATGGTATTCATCTTCTATCTCTTGGGAAGTACAATATTTACACAATCTGTTTTCCCTTGATATCCCTAAATGTCAACCTTTTTCTATTAGAAAATCATGAGAGCTATATCTGAAACAGGATAATGCTGTTCGAAATTTCTTAACATTTATACCCAAAAGATATTTTTCAGTAAGAATGAATGATTTAAAGCAGGTGTAATGCTTTAACTTATTGTGTAAACATAGTGAAGAGTGCTTTCTACAATAGTGCTATAATCCCACAACACAGGACACCAATGATCCTGTGTAACAGTGAAGGGAACCAAATCCACATACTGTAAAACATGAAATTAATGCGTCTCCAAAAGAATGCAACCGCTGGCCCCTAGCCAAATATGCGACTCAATATGAATGCGACACCCCCTCCTCTCAAGCATTAGTGGATTTATATCTAAACAAAATGTCCTCTGTCAGGTTTACAGGAGAATCCTCACCTTAATCCAACCTTACATTAATCCAATCACACACCAAATAGCACCGCTTATTAGCGCTGAGTAGAGTACGACAGCTAAAACAATATGTGCCCGCTGGCTTGTGTGAGCCTTTGATGCAGTCGCAAAGAGCAAAGACACCGTGTTGGGTGGTGTCTGTCTGGACTTGCAGGTGTGATCAGTGATGACATGAGTGAGTAGAACACTTGTCTTGACCCCAGCAGTGACAATTCACAGGATGTAATTATTGTTTCAATGACATTGTTTATATACTTGTAACAAGTGCTGCTCAATAAACAGTGATAGGGAATACATAGTTGTTTGTTTTCAGTGTATGTCTAAGATGTTTTTTCTGCTATCCAAAATGTCTTATTGTTGATATAAATGCGATGTATAATAATGCGAGCCAAGACCACTCGCATTTTTCGCATTTAATTCACGCTCGCGTTAATATCAAGATTTACAGTATTTCACATGACAGATGGCACTGAAGAACAAGTGACCCAAGGGACTGAGGATAGGGCATGAAATGATCAGCATACCTGGGAGGGGTGGAAGGTCCTCCTCCCTGAACGTTTTGCTGTCCAGCCGGTGTGGGTTGGTCGTGCTGCGGTAGAATGGGTTGTCCTTGCCAAATATCTCGTATGCAAGAGCCCCTACAGCCCACAGGTCTGCCTTGCTGTAATCTAGCATAGAGGACTTGCCCACCCTCGCACAGGCGATCTGAAAATATTGGGTTGTTTATATTTTAATGGTTACAACATTGTTGTCTTCATGTCAATGGTAAAAATATACATTCACAATGAATATCTACTGGCATACACTAGATAAAGATAGATGTGCTGTTATGTGAGTGAGTGAGTGAGTGAGTGAGTGAGTGAGAGTGTATATTTTTACGACACATTTAGCCATATTCCAGCAATATCACGGCAGAGGACTGAGAGTATCTTTCTTGCCCATTTACTGTATGTAAATGTTAATATTACGCTAAGTAGACAAGATAGGTGTATGACACATTTGTTTGGGTGGGGACCATGGTGATGCTGGGATGTGTTCAAGTGAATTGTTTTTTTGGAAGCTGGAAACTTTGTTCAAGCCCGTTTCCACATAGGATTGCAAGAAGAAGGATGAAATGCATAGCGTGAGAAAGGATAAGTAAAAAATCTTAAGAAAGACTGCACTTGGAGGATATTGCATGATATTGACCTACCTCTGGCGCCATGAGTGCAGCATTACCTCCCTTGTTTATTTCACTGGTGTTGTAGGGGACCTGCAGGCTGTCTTCGCACAAACAGCAGCCAAAGTCACTGATCACCAAAGTGGGATTTTCTGCAAAGGCGGTTGCATTAATATCACATCATAAGGGCAACCAAGTATCATATCAACAGCAGACACACGAGGACTACCATGGTGCAGATTGGGAAGGAAACTTTCTTAAAGCCCCCTGCTTACAGTTTTTGTGACTATGGGCAATTGATAATTGCAATGGGCCATAATTGAACATAACTTAATAATGACTGCAGCTGAATAAAACAATTTATGCCCCCTGACAGATTAACTACAGTCATATGAAAAAAGAGTCAATGACAGATTTACTATTGAAAACATTGTATTCTTAACTTCTTTTATGAAGAATATAGCGATGTGCCAACTTAATGTGGAAGGAAAGCTGTAAATGACACAGGTTATAGATGTTTCCTGACACAGGTTATAGATGTTTCCTGACACAGGCTATAGATGTTTCCTGACACAGGTTATAGATGTTTCCTGACACAGGCTATAGATGTTTCCTGACACAGGTTATAGATGTTTCCTGACACAGGTTATAGATGTTTCCTGACACAGGTTATAGATGTTTCCTAACACAGTGTAACCAAGGAGTATGGCATAATGCTAATTCTATCATAGCAATCATGGGTTAGAAATTAATTTTGATTTTTATACTCGTCCACAAAAATGATCTGCTACAGAGATACAATCTGCCTAAAGGTAAAAGTGGATGTCCACAAGGAAATGTCACTAGTCCTGCTACAGAGTTGCCATCTACCTAATGGTGAAAGTGGTAGTCCACAAGGAAATGGACCCTTGAAGATCTGGGGTAGAATAGGTCTTCAGCAACCCATGCTTGCCGTAAAAGGGATCGGGTGGTCAGACTCGCTGACTTGGTTGATGCATGTCATCAATCCCAACTGCATGGATCGATGCTCATGATGTCAATCACTGGATTGTCTGGTCCAGACTCGATTATTTACAGACCGCCGTCATATAGCTGGAATGATGATGCTGGCATTCCTGCTTCATTCTCAATAAATGCAATCATTGCGTACAACAGTTAACACAGTAATCATGGTAAAATCATGGTAATATCATATAATATATATAATTCATGGTAATAGTGTGTTCTTTTCCATTAAGCAAATGAGTACCTGTCCCATTAGATAGATCAAGCAAGAGATTGTCACTCTTCAGATCTCGGTGAGCGATTCTATCATGCTGGAGGCAGACCACACCCTCCAACAGCTGGGCCAGCAGTAGACACCTGGTGGCCATATTGGGCGACTCTTTGTTCAGAAACTCTCTCAGAGTACAGGTGTACCTGGAGACACATAAAAAAAAACACTGAATAACAAAAAACAAAATAATACCCTAATTCTTGGCATTATTTTTGTTCGTTTGTACATTTACGCCTAACTCAGCAATATTCCAGCTTTATGGCAGCAGTATGTCTGGACAAGACAATCAAGTGATTGATATCATGAGTATCGATCCACGCATTTGGGATATGATGAAATGCCTCAACCAAGTCAGCAAGCCTGACCACCCCATGCTGTTAGTTGCCTCTTACAACAAGCATAGACGCCTTTTACGGCATTAAAAACCACCTAACTTGAGGCTCCCTAAACTTTAAGGTAACCAAACAATTATCAAGACACACTGCACATAACAGATGCAATGCCATCTTCTATATGGGTGTATATTTATTACCTAAACAATGAACCATAGAAAAGACGGTCACTTACCATGCTTACCTGCACAAGTAACAAAAAAACTTGTGTTTCAGATAACTCGACCAACCCATTGTTTTACTTCAATCATGTGATACTGCCCCCATGAATGGCATCATCGCATAATTACACCACTAATCTACATGCATCTACAGGACACTCACTTTTTCATGAGGAGGAACATGGTCATGTTTCTTCCAAAGCCATTGGGGTCAATTCTTGTTGGGAGGGCTGCTGGGTAGTGCTGTCTGTTGTCAGGTAGATCGGGCACGCTGTCTACGAACACCCCCTGCATACACACAATGTTCGGGTGCGGAGAGACAGTTTTGTTCTTCACACGGTTCCTGCAATACAACAACAGTTGTATTCTCAAAATGAACATTGTCCTAGTGTGAATAGCCTCAGTACTTTTTCCATGTACGCAACAAGAATCAGGTTGCTGGGGGAGTACTCGATCCCGCGTCCCGACAAATACAGCTACATGATTGTGCGTCACATGAACTTGGGGGAATTTAAGCTGCAGGTCATAAGATAACTCAACTGGTATTGATCTAGATCTGCTAAGAGGCTGATATTTGTCCCTAAATCCGCACTTCCTTTTCCAAAGGGGGCGGTCGGGTAGCCTAGTGGTTAAAGCGTTTGCTCCTCACGCCAAAGACTCGGGTTCGATTCCCGACATGGGTACAATGTGTGAAGCCCAACTGTGGTGTCCCCCGCCGAGATATTGCAGGAATATTGCTAAAAGCGGCGTAAAACTTCACTCACTCGTTCCAAAGTCTGCAGTGACTGTGAAAGTTCCCAAACTGGAATTACAAATTCCAATTTATGTAATCAATCTTATGTTATCGCTTGTAGAAGTGACTTGTATCTCACTGAACAATTTCAGCTAAACAACTAATTGTTTTCTCAAATTGCCTGACAAAGGCACATACCTTAGAATCCTGAATAAGTCCCTGCTCAGGGAGAATCCCAAACACAGGAAAGAAGATGATGACCAAAATGTATTTTTTAGAGTAAAAATATCATTTATACTTATCCTGACTCATACTTATTGCTTATCTCTCTCTCTTCCGAATAGGTAGTGGAAACGTCCTGTGCTGTTCCCAAAGAACAGAGAAAAACAGCTCACCCAAACGCACCCTCACTTGGGGCAATTCTAATATTTCAATCTATGATCAGCAGATCCTGGTCTGACTAAGAGCTGCAACTCTGTAGAACTTTAACCAGTCGGTACCACACTATGCTAACTATGTTTGTGAATTTCTTTTAAATGCAACTGGAGACGATTTCTTTACTTATCTAGTGGGAGTAGGACAGCCTGGGGGTAAAATTGTTCACTCGTCACTTCCAAGGCCCAGGTTCGATTCCCACATGGGTGAAGCCCATTCTGGTGTCACTTATCTTGCAGGAACATTGCAAAAGGCAGCGATAAACCCAACACACTCACTTGCTACAAGTTTAGTGTCGAATTCAGTCTTCATTTTAGAAGTTCAGTCCTATGTCGATGAGATAGTTACCCATTGTGCCAGGAATCCTGTTGCTGGTGAAAATCCGTCATCCTCATGGGCACTGCTTCCTTCTCCATAGCTGTCAATACAGCTTCTGCATTTGATTCCACGTCGTAGTTGAACATCATCTTCAAGGCTAGGTCATATTCACAGGAAGGAGTAGCGTCTAGCTGGGGATCTACAGCAATAATAATCATAACATCACCATCAAATCCAGCAATTGCCCTGTTTGTTATTTTAAAAGCCTCACTAAGCAATATTCCAGCCATACAACAGCAGCCAATAAATAAACAATTCTGTACCAGACAATCCAGTGATTTATATCATTAGCATTGATCCATGCAATCGGGATACTCGGACGTGTGTTCAACCAAGTCAGTAAGTCTGATCACCCAATCCAATTAGTCGCCTCTTATGACAAGCATAGGGAACTCAAGATCCATATTCTTACCCAGAATGCCCTTGGCCTGACACTAGAGACCTGCATATGCAGTTTGATGCAGTAAGCGGGACACACATGCAATTAAGTTACAGCTATTGTCTTACAAAGCTATCCCAGGATCCCCATAGGGTCCCACTTATATCAAACCCAGCAGAAACACAGTACCCAAAGAAATGTACAAAGAAGAAAACAAATGGATATTTGTATTTGATAATTATTTGTGACTGACCTTTATCTTCAGGATCTGATGGCACATCTTGCATCAGCAGCTTCAGATGCTCTTCCACCACCCCAGCCGTACAGCTTCCAGGCGGACCATCATCCTCAAGGATGCTCATGTCGCTGTCAGACTCCTCAGATGCATCTGATGATACCTCCGCACCTGCATCGCCAGTCTTGTATGTCTTCATTATCAAAATGCTGTCATCTTCAACCTCAAGGATGGTGATGTCACTATCAGATTCTTCTTCAGGCACGCTTGGTCCCATCTCTTTGAAGAAAGTTGGCCCCATCTCTTCACACAACTTTGGCGCCAACTCTTCAAAACCAGTGTCTAATGCTCCTGGTTCCTGACCAATACTGCCCAATGAGTCGAGAATGCTGATGTCACTGTCCGACTCATCTATCATCTCTTGATCTGTATCGGTTAGTTCGCCATCTGATGACCAAGCATGACTTTGTTTGAGTTCATCCAATGGTAGGCTGTCTTCTGTATCCAGAATGGTGAAGTCACTGTCCGAGTCTTCAAATACAACTGGCGCCACCTCTCTTTCTGGACTGGACTCAAGAGACATCGGGGAGGCCTCAGGATCGGTCTTGTTTGCAGTTTCATTCCTGGATTCATTGGCAGGTGGTTGGATTGTCATACCATTTGTTGCAAAAGGGGGTCTGATGTCTTCCACTGAAAGGAACAAGTGTGTTTTTATTTTATAATTTTATAGTCAGTTTACTCCCTTGCCTCTGGAAGATGAAATCTACTTTGAGTTCTGAGCCGTCACCAACGACTCAATTTCAATCACACTTATATTTATGAAATACCAACAGATCATTGCAGACTGCCATGTTAAACATGTGACAACAATTACAACACACAAACAAAATGAGATCTCTTCTTACAGATACCTTTTCTTCCTCTTGGGCGTGCTTCGTATACTGCAGCATTGCATCCCTTGTCGATCAAAGGTCCAATGTCCAAATCCTCAAGTCCAAGAATGTGCACTCCGCTCGGCTCAGATACTGTTTTAGACTCATGCAACTCCTGGGGAAAGGTTAACAAAGACAGAGTAAAGAGATTGAAGCCTTCCAGTTGCAGGGCCATTTGTTTGGGTTTTTTTAAATTTCAAGATACTGTTGAAATTTCAAGACCATTATCTTGAAATTTCAACTAAGTATGTATCTTGAAATTTCAACATAACATCTTAAAAATTCAAGTCAGTATCTGGAAATTTCAACGAAAAAACTAAAAAACAAATGGCCCTAAAAGGTTTCCACAGTAAAGACATCCTACATTCATGAAATTGTGTATTGAATGAAAAAAATCTTATGTTGTGATGGCATAAAATCACTGGTAATTATTTCTGCATAAATAACATTCTTTTTATTTGCCATTTAGAATGTGAGTTGAGGTGAGGTGAAATTGAGTTTACATTGCGTCAATGATTATTGCACTTAGATAGCGACTGGAGGTACCACTGATTGTACAACCACAAACTAATTCCAAGTTTATAGTGTCAGACCACTGAGATACCATGCTGCAGTATAACATGAACAGCACACTCAGACACAGTATATGGACCTCGAGCAGTCTTTGTCGGTACATGTGTCAGAGGATCTCGGGTAGAATTATAGGTCTTCAGTAACCTATGCTTGCTGTACGTACATGGCGACTATGCTTGATGTAAGAGGCTACTATTGGGATCTGGTGGTCAAACTCGCTGACTTGGTTGATGCATGTCATCGTGTCCGAACTGCGTGGATCGATGCTCATGATGTCAATCATTTGATTGTCTGGTCCAGACTCGATTATTTACAGATAGCTGTCATATAGCTGCAATACTGCTGAGTGCAGCGTTAAACAACAAACAAACAAACAAACAGCATGAATCAATGTCTAGTAAATGACGGATAGAAGAAACAGCAGTTCATGACCATGACCTTTCAGCTACACTGAAGAATCCTAGTTTATAAGTCAGTGATTAGTTAACTTGTTGTGGCTCTTACAGATGTGGACATCAAAATATTGATATTGAGCATTATATAACAGTGGGGTAGCCAAATATGTACCACTGATACCCTGTCTGATTGTCAAACATCAAGATCAAGTTTGTCCATATCTACCTTGTTTCGGTTGACATAGTATTTCTTTTAATCATGGATCAACTAAATTTCAAAACACGCCCTAAATAGGAGGCTGGCATGAATCAGGAATTATGAACTTGTATTTACTTATAAAATGTACTGGACTCAGAATTAGGTAACTGTGGAAACCATACTTCCGTGTTCTTTCCTGTAGACAATTTTTATTTTGACTTGGCGCCACAGAGCTACGGGCTGTTCACTCTTGTTTTCCAAATAGATTTCTGATTCGGTACATAAAACACTAAGAATACACCATAATCATGATGATAATGTTCATGAATTGTAATCAAACAAAAAATGCACCACAATTTCATTACTTTACAGGACGCTCACATTTTCTGAAGGACACTTGAAATTAGTAATTGCGTGTTAAACTTAAAGGACCCTTAGTTAAAGTCAAGGTAAAAACCCTGATAGGGTAGGCCTAGATCTACCAGAAAAATAACACAACCCACTCTGATTTTAGAAAATACGTTGTCCCTTTCCTCTTGACTTGACAGATTGTTCTTTGTTGAAAATGCCACCGAGACGAAGGCAAACAATGGCAAGTTTCTCCCCCTTCTGCCAATTCCTGCTGAAATCAGTCGCATTGCTGCATCACGACGCAAATTGGCAGCAGCCGTTTTCATGGAACTCTGCGGAAAGATCCCCGTAAAAACTCTCTGGGAGAGACTCTGCTTTTGCACTGCCAATTGGATCTTTTCTGAAACTGGTTTGGTAAATTGTGGCAACTTTTGAAATATTGGTCTCTTTGGCGCCCTTCCTGCTTTCTCAAGGATAGACTCCCATATCTGTCGGCCATGTTGGATGATTCGCTCGGTCCAAACATTTCCTCCGAATATGTCGGCCCCCCTTGTGGCTTTGGACCACAAAGGGGGCGCTAGGTTAAACAACTTTCCGTTCAGGTTGCCGTGTCACTGTCACTAAAACTTGAACAAAATGTCAGCCCAAGAGGGCTCATGAAAGATGTCTCAACTCCACCAACGCAGTGTTGTGATCACGCACCTGCCGCAGTGTGACGTAATTTGTTTTGATCACGTGGTACTGTCAATGTCACGTGACGCATTCCTTCACCTTCTGATCATATGGACAAGCAAGCGTCATTTGAGATTCTGACCAAACGAATATAATTTTGTAACAAAAGACGATACGCTCATTTCTCAATACTATTGGTTCTAAATGGTAACAATATGTACATATTGAATTATGCGTGTTTTGTATATCTTTGAAGCATTTTGTCAAAGGAGCAAACAGTTCTCAAGTCCAGTGAGTGATGGACATACCAGAATGTGTGCTGCATTTGTATGAGGCGCCGTTTTACTATTTAATCCCTATTTCATTTCACCGATAATCCATTAATTGATATCAGAAAATGAGTCATTGAGATCACAAATTCCATTTGTTATTGGTATCAGAAAATATTTGTTGATATTTCAAATTCGATTTGTAGATATCAATAAAAGAATTTATGATATCAAAACAAGTATTATGTGACATCAAACAATGCATTTTATGATATAAACCAATCTAATTAGTGATATTTAAAAATCAGAAGTATTTTTTATATCACAAATTCGATTTAGTGATATCAATTCTTCTTTTTCGTCTTCTTCTTCTTATTATTATTATCATTATTATTATTATCCGACATCGAACTTATGAAGTGGTCCTTAAGGGAAGACAGTTGTGACCAGATTAAAGTTGATATTCAGTGTTTTTAGATGACAATTATTCATATGATACTTGCATTGTTTATTGTTCTTCTTTTTACTTATTATTATTATTATTATTATTATTATTATTATTATTATTATTATTATTATTATTATCCGACATCGTACTTATCCCTAAGGGAAGACAGTTGTGACAAGATTAAAGTTGACATACAGTGTATTTTAGACGACAATTATTCATATGATACTTGCATTGTTTATTGTTCTACATCATTTTCTTCTTCTTCTTCTTCTTCTTCTTCTGTGTGACAAGATTAAAGTTGACTTACAGTGCTTTTTTAGACGACAATTATTCATATGATACTTGCATTGTTCTACATCATTTTATAACGGTACTCTACGGAACATAATGTAATAAATAGGTAGTGTCCGTGAGCCAAGACATGGCTGGATGTTAAACCCCTTATATTGTGCTATGCAATGTTTTAGCTATGTGTGTTTAACTTGTGACACTTAATAAACTGTCTGTCTCTATACAATTCAAAGGGAATTGTTGGACGTGACACTGGTAACAGCAGTGGAAATAGACTTGCACAAGTCTCTAATGCAATAATTATCAATTTAAATCACAATTCTAGAAAATGTAAATAATTAGAACAATTTAAGCTGCCCCAATAAGAGAATGGAGTCCTTATCTAGACCTGCCTATTTGGAGATAGAATTACTGCACATCTATGGACTTATCTTTCAGTACAGCCTTGGAGCAAGGCTACAGTGGAAATAGGACTATTCATGTGTTAATACAATAGATTAAATGGATAGTTGACGGAGTTGATTGACAGTTTACTGCACGTTTATACAGTGAATTCTAAAAGTAAATGTTCATTCCACAAGAGAGGGAACTCCCTGATCACAATTGCGGGATGACTTATCTCGTCTGATCTGATAAGCTTCTTGCAATCTCATTAAAATCAGACCTCAGTTCTCACTACCGCTAAACAAAGATCTGAGGACATCTCCATTAGGGGTCACGTCAGAACGACCCTTTCATCCGACCAATCAGAGCATCGCTTACCAGATTATGAAAGTGACAGTCGGAAAGTGATTTCTGATCATGCAGCCTCGAAAACGTTAACTCCGAACGATAGTTATGGGTTTAACGACTGTATCCATACAATCTAGACCATCTATTAGACATTCCAGAATGTTCTTTTGTTCAGGTTTCAAATTTGTAATCGAGAATTTGTCAAAATATGTTTCGAAGCGTAGTCGCCAATTTGAAATTAGTGCCGTCAAGCACGAGAAAGCTGCCTTCTGATTGGTCATTCCATTGGTCGGTCAAAGTTCGCGCAAGGTCGTTCTGACGTGACCCGCGTAGTGGGATGTCCTCAGATCTTTGTTTAGCGGTAGCGAGAACTTTAAATGAGATTGAGCTTCTTGGAGCTTGCGCTTCCTCCAGTTGTTCATGTTTGTACAAAGGAATTTCGTGTATTGCCAGGAGATGGAGTGGAGTGGAGTGGAGTGGAGTGGAGGCATTGGGATTGTTGATATCTTCAGATATGGCATGAGTTTGGGCAAATTTCCCACGCAAATGCGTTTATATGCCCAAATGTATCCCCAAGGGCAAATTTACGTACGAGGGTAAAAATACCCCCGGGGTAAATCCAATGAAATAGATGCATGTAAACAGGGCTTTGATTACAGACAGCTTCGAGAAAAGACTTGACTTATACCCCGTTCACATGCACAACATTTACTCACATAAGTAATTGTGTACATGTGTAACTATACATACGTTGGTATATGTAAATGTACTATGCGTTCACATGAAAATCAATTAATGTGTGAATGAAGTATACATGTAAATGCTGTAAGGCACACATATTCATCAGTCTTTTCACGACGTTCAACGTGACAAGGTTGTTTTCCCCAAAAGTCACATGAGAAGAGAGTTACGTCACAGAAATCTTCACATGAAGCAATATGTGTTTGATTTAAGCTGCACATAATTTGTTCTCTCCTTGAAACCCAAAGAAAACACGGTCCACCCAGCTCTGAATGTCCTGATAAAGTCGGTATTGCTGTGTACTGAACAGCGTCAACTTCAGAATACACAAGTGTGGTCGATTTTTTTGGTGTTGGAAAATCAACAGCTATATTAATTAGATCATCCTCTGGCAGCATACAGCAACTTCAAGTCAGCAAATGCAAGACAAATACACTGAATTATGGAGGCGATCACCATGACATGTCCTACATTAAGAAAGATACTTCCAAAAAAATTAAGTGTTATGTTATTCTGAAGGAAGAAATAAAAAGACTTACACCTCGTCAGCAATATAATTGTTATAACAATGCAGACTGTGATTGATAGGATGGGAAAGATTAACTGTGATGAACACTTGTGTTTTTTTAATAATATTTCTGGTTGTGAGGCTCAAACGATCCAAGTAAAACAAATTGCCAAAAGTCCAAAACATTACAACATTCAACTTATCACTCAGTGAACACTGATGAACACAATTTGGTACAACAACATTGACTTGATAGATAGAAACAATTGTACCTATTTTTCATATATTTTTGTGTTTAAAATATTCTGCCAATAAAGCCAAATTAAACAAATGAGGTGACTGACATTTCACATTTTCCAGTATTTATATGGACCAATCTGTTTGAAGATTACTGGTCTAGAATAATGTGTATTGGCTATTGTCCAATGAATCAGTGTATTTGCATTCTGAACCCTTATACAGTCGATGCAAAATCAAGACATGTTGATATTTCAACAAAGAATTAATTACCTAAAGCAACAACTGCTAATCCTTTGGTTATGTTTAATATTCATTGGTGGGCATCTGATGTATTTTCTAGGAAGATTTTGACCCATACACTGAAAAACTATTATCATACATTGCTTTGTTATGATATTATATTCAATATCAATTCAGTATCATGGCTGATACCATAAATGTTTAAAAAAAACCTCTCTTTTGTATGGCATTATCCACACTTAAAAACAATAAAAAAGCTATAGATTTATTCAGTAATTTTATTACCAGGTCATGATTACTCTCAAAATATTAAACATTCTTGTCAAATATTCTCAAAAGCCAAGCCTGAACAAATTACTGTGCAAGTGTGAATTGGAATATTTTCAACAGCATGCATTGTCACTAGCGTCAGTATCTAGATTCACACTGGACTTTATATGAGAGTCCAAAGCTGTTCTGCATCACCATGAAACTCCCAAAAATTTCAGCCAGTCCACAGGACTGGCTAGCTGAAATACTTGCCAGCCCTGACCAAAACCTGCCTGCCCACTATAATCATATGTTTCTCAGGATAAGCTAACGGGGTTTCTTTTTGGTTACATTTTATCATTCATCTTTACATGTGAATTAATGCTTATCATCGGGAAATATTTAGAATATTTTCACATATGAAATATAACCCGACCGTCGGGCAGGGGAATTTGAAAATCTGGCAGCCCGAGTTGAAATCAACCCGTCTCGGACGGTCGGGCAGGCAGGTATTTCGAACACTGGTGTACATGGTATATTCTGATGGTCACGGAAATCATTTACAGAACCAGTACTTCAGATAAGACTTTAATATGTTCACAACTGTATACACAACAAGAGTTGTTCCTTCATAGGCAATGTATTGCTTGACCACAAGCTTGACCGCGAAATCTGTTACAGTCCGAGTTGCTTTCTCCCCTCAAACATGGAAAGCTGGTCCAACTGCAAAAGATAGATAACTCTTATGATAAGATATAACATATACTTCTAAAATACCAACAATTTCTTGCAATGCCTACATCGAGATATAATAAATAAATTAAGCATGTACATTGTATCATCAACTGAATATGCTAAACAAATGCTAAATGGGGTTGTAATGATCAAGTCTATTCACATCATACAGAATGCATTTAAGTGAGGTCACCTTTCAGAGATCTTAAAAACAAACATTGCAAGGATTTAATCATCATTATTTACGAATTAGATCAATAGTTTGTTTGTCAAAAAAACCTGATTTTTCCGTGTACATAACATTATCATCATGATATTGGCACATATCTTTTTTATTAACACCAGAGTATGGGCGGCCATTCGGTCAAAAAATACAAAGTTGAAAAAAGGACAAAAGTACACAATAAAGGTCAAATATTTCGAATAAAGAACTAAATGTTACTAATAAAGGTCAAAATACAAAACAACAGACGCCGGTTAAACAAATACAAATTTGAAACAAAGGTCGAAAGTATTAATATCAATAGTCAAATGCTACGAAAAGACGTCATAAGAAAAGAAAAAAACAATGTGTTCGAAAGAACGTCCATGAGCACGAAAGGACGTTTACAATAAAGACCGTCAGTGAACACGAAGGACGTTTACAATATAGAACGTCAGTGAGCACGAAATTACGTTGACAATAAAGAACCTCAGTGAGCACGAAAGGACGTTGACAATAAAGTACGTCAGTAAGCACGAAAAGACGTTTTCAATAAAGAACGTCAGTGAGCACGAAAGGACGTTTACAATAAAGAACGTCAGTGAGCACGAAAGGACGTTTACAATAAAGAACGTCAGTGAGCACGAAAGGACGTTGACAATAAAGTACGTCAGTAAGCACGAAAAGACGTTTTCAATAAAGAACGTCAGTGAGCACGAAAGGACGTTTACAATAAAGAACGTCAGTGAGCACGAAAGGACGTTTACAATAAAGAACGTCAGTGAGCACGAAAGGACGTTTACAATAAAGAACGTCAGTGAGCACGAAAGGACGTTTACAATAAAGAACGTCAGTGAGCACGAAAGGACGTTGACAATAAAGTACGTCAGTAAGCACGAAAAGACGTTTTCAATAAAGAACGTCAGTGAGCACGAAAGGACGTTTACAATAAAGAACGTCAGTGAGCACGAAAGGACGTTTACAATAAAGAACGTCAGTGAGCACGAAAGGACGTTTACAATAAAGAACGTCAGTGAGCACGAAAGGACGTTTACAATAAAGAACGTCAGTGAGCACGAAAGGACGTTGACAATAAAGTACGTCAGTAAGCACGAAAAGACGTTTTCAATAAAGAACGTCAGTGAGCACGAAAGGACGTTTACAATAAAGAACGTCAGTGAGCACGAAAGGACGTTTACAATAAAGAACGTCAGTGAGCACGAAAGGACGTTTACAATAAAGAACGTCAGTGAGCACGAAAGGACGTTTACAATAAAGAACGTCAGTGAGCACGAAAGGACGTTTACAATAAAGAACGTCAGTGAGCACGAAAGGACGTTTACAATAAAGAACGTCAGTGAGCACGAAAGGACGTTTACAATAAAGAACGTCAGTGAGCACGAAAGGACGTTGACAATAAAGTACGTCAGTAAGCACGAAAAGACGTTTTCAATAAAGAACGTCAGTGAGCACGAAAGGACGTTTACAATAAAGAACGTCAGTGAGCACGAAAGGACGTTTACAATAAAGAACGTCAGTGAGCACGAAAGGACGTTTACAATAAAGAACGTCAGTGAGCACGAAAGGACGTTTACAATAAAGAACGTCAGTGAGCACGAAAGGACGTTGACAATAAAGAACGTCAGTAAGCACGAAAGGACGTTTACAATAAAGAACGTCAGTGAGCACGAAAGGACGTTTACAATAAAGAACGTCAGTGAGCACGAAAGGACGTTTACAATAAAGAACGTCAGTGAGCACGAAAGGACGTTTACAATAAAGAACGTCAGTGAGCACGAAAGGACGTTTACAATAAAGAACGTCAGTGAGCACGAAAGGACGTTTACAATAAAGAACGTCAGTGAGCACGAAAGGACGTTTACAATAAAGAACGTCAGTGAGCACGAAAGGACGTTTACAATAAAGAACGTCAGTGAGCACGAAAGGACGTTTACAATAAAGAACGTCAGTGAGCACGAAAGGACGTTTACAATAAAGAACGTCAGTGAGCACGAAAGGACGTTTACAATAAAGAACGCCAGATACCAGAACTATTCACTTGTTTCATAAAATTGGTATTACACGGGAGCTCGTTTAGTATTCTATATTTCTCGCACACTGTTCAGATGTTATGACAATATATGCGTCTGAAACAAGTCTCGGCATCATAGCACCGTGCATGAACAGTTAATTGGATCTTTGTAGATTAATCCTAGTTTAGCGTTAAATGAATGTTTTTTGAAGGTTGTATACAAAATACATGTTCTAATTAGGCAGATGTTGGATTACACAGTATACTGTATTTATGAAAAGGCCCTTGGCCGGTGACGATGCTTAAACGCAACATGTATATACACAATGTGTACATTATACATTATACATTATGTATACTAGTATATATGACGTCAACGGCGAGTGCACGAGGATAGACGTAATACACTGTGCACCACGGCATGCATTCAGTTATCATATACACGGCGGAACAAGCCGATTAAACTCGGAATGTTTTACAAATTGCAGCGCCATCTGGCGTTCTTTATTGTAAACGTCCTTTCGTGCTCACTGACGTTCTTTATTGTAAACGTCCTTTCGTGCGCACTGACGTTCTTTCGTACACATTGTTCTTTCTTTTCTTATGACGTCTTTTCGTAACATTTGACTATTAATATTGTGTACTTTTGACCTTTATTACAACTTTTTATTTTTTACCCGGCGTCTCATTGTTTTGTATTTTGACCTTTATTAGTAACATTTAGTTCTTTATTCGTAATATTTGACCTTTATTGTGTACTTTTGTCCTTTTTTTAACTTTGTATTTTTTAACCGAATGGCCGCCTATACCAGAGACCATATCTATTTTATGGTCTCTGTTAACACAGGCACCCCTATAAGTCTCTTTGTAAAACACATTATTATTTAGATATAGTACAAGTATTGACAAAAAATCATAACAACTTATATTGCCAACATGCACATTATAGGCAGACAGACTTTGCTTTGCTTTGATTTTGACTGTCGAACGCGCAGCATAATTTCTAAGGTAAAATTTGTTAGCGCTCTTCGTAATAATTTCTTAGTGGGTTGCAAATCATTCGCACTGACCTTCGAACCATTCATCCGGGGGACTTTATGAACCGAAAGTACGTTTCTTTGAAAGTCGACAAGAGCTTGACAGAAGACGAGATTTCCCCCGGCCATAGAGTCATTCTTGAGAACTTCGAAAAGGTAGATTATTTGTTTTGAAGAATCTTCATATTACAATTGCAAACAGTTTGTACTCTCCATACGTTTAAGGGAGGCAACTCTGGATAAGCGTTAACATATGTTGCCTCCCACTTACACAAAGCGATTGTAAGCTAAGATCATTGTAAGCTACAATCGAAACTTACAATTGGTCCGGACCAATCCTAAAAGGGGCACTGATCTAAAGTAATTCCCTGGGAATGGCTGTTGCCTTTGTTATTGTTTTTCCCCCTTGATTACCCGGATGATATATATCAGAAACCTAGACTAGTTCGCGACCTGTGTAAGCGCATTTGTCACTTTTATTGATAGTATAAGGGCGTATGGTCACATTGATCTACAAAATGAAATACAGTTTTGGAAATAATAAGGAAATGTAGGTATCTTTGTGGGTAGCATCGGTAATGGTGACGAAGTTTTGATAAGTCACTTGCTTGGTAATTGTGCGATTTTCGTTTACATTATTTTGACTTGCAACACAAAGTAAATATTTCTCCTGAGCATTGCTTATTTTATCGTGTTTATATTTTTACAGTCAAAATGTGCAAAATTTTCACTTAGGAATTTTATTAAACGCCTGAATATTCAGTTATTTTAAAAATTGACTGAAAAATATGTCCATCTATATTTTTATGACAACGAATTCAAAACATGTTTATGTTTAATATGATCACCAAGAGACTGAAAATGTTACGATGAAAAGTACATTTCTATATTGTTTGGCTTCTAATCCTACATAATAATCTATTATGATGTTTTTAGGCCCTTTTGATCGTCATAATCAATTTTAGTCCCTCTGTTAATGAAATGGACAGATTTTTCAGTCAAAATGAGTGAAATATTTACACATTTTATAAATTACCTGAGAGAATCGAATTTTGCAAATTGACTGTAATATATACAAATGAAGGAAATTGCAAATATCATAATTACAACCGGGTGCAGGCTAAAACGGCACCTCAGCAAAACGGCACCGATTTCTCTGGCGAAAATGGCACCGCATTTGGCGAAAACGGCTACCATGTGTCGGGCGAAAACGGCACCTCTATTTTTAATAATGATAAGAACGATTTTTGTAGTAATATATATGGTTTATTTACATGGTATTTGGTGTATTTACATGTTATTGGATGTATGTGATTATGTTATTCTGAGAATTTATACAATAGCATTATGTAGTTTATTTTATTATTAGTAGTACCTCAAAGTCCAAAGTCCCCGGCTGTTTGGGGCGCAACAGTTCCCTGGTTCAGTTCGCCATGTGAATGAGGGTTGATACTGGCGATACTGGCGCCCGATTTGTAGATGTTTTCAACAGCTTGTTCCTTTACCTAAAACATAATATGTTCAATTACTCTACTGTTACAATAAACTTTTCAACATGTAATTGAGAGCTTATTGTAAATTACCGAGAACAATTACACCAATCAGTTATAACAACAATATCAATACCTCAACTCGGACTTGAATTGCTGTTAACACTGTCCTGGTACCTGGTTTGGTTTTCTCATTTCTTCTGCATCTTCTGATTGGAAACTGACATCAAAGTTACCGATCACCTTTTCAATGATCGGATCTACGCATCTCAAACAGCGGAAAGGGAAGTCTTCTTCTGTCCGGCAAATTTCTTTTTTTAAGGGCCATCATGATACAGCATGTTGATTTTTTCTGACATTCTTCTCGCATGCAACACATCGAAAGGCCATTATGAATAATTGTGATCTGACAGCTCCATGTTTGGCCTCTTAAATACAGTTTCAGCTTAAATTGAGTAAAAATACTTAAAACTTCAAAGCGTATTGTGTTTTTACAATAAGTTAACTGCGCCTACCAATCAGAGTCGGCGAGTAAATTGGAGAAGGGGTCTAATTTCTTAGTTGTTTTATGTAAGTTTATTATCATTTATTTGACCAAGGTGTACAAAAATAAGGTGCCGTTTTCGCCAGGCAATAGTAGCCGTTTTCGCTTGAGTCGAGGTGCCGTTTTCGCCCGGTGACGTTTTGCTGAGGTGCCGTTTTCGCTATAACCCATTACAACATACCAAATTTATGTGTATTATTTTAGGCAGCTTCCTTGTTCGAGGAATGTATCCGTGAATATCCACACAAAGGAACAATATCCCACACGTCTGCAGCTGTACAAAGAAACTTATTCGATGTCACGTGTCTCTATAACAATCAAATATTTTAAAATATATATATCGTTTCGGGATATTATAACCCGTGTTCATTTCTCAACTGATCACTTAGATTATTTCAGGTGTTTCACATAGGTGTCAAATCTCAAAGGTCAGCTGAGAAAGCCCACGTGACAACTATTTTCATAATGTCCACGGTTCCTAAAAAACTCCATTGAGTTAGATAACAATGAGCAATCAATCAACGTATTATCGGTTAACCCTTTGAACAAAGTATGTTGTTTTTACGTCGGCAATACACGCCATGATATGAGTGTATTCCCTTTGTTTTAGTAAACCTAGACATGTGAACTCACTTTTGACATATCCACTGTGCAAGATAACAGTGATTAATCAATCAATGTATTTTCTGTTAATCCCTTGATGACTAAGAACGATCCGTTGATTTACAAAAAAGTAAATCAACTGAACATTCATCTCTTGCTGGACTACCACGTGCATACTACATAACACACATTTCACCTCACTTCAAACCGTTTATAATTACCCCAGACACAATAAATGCCAAATAGGAACCTCTGTCAGGTATTCTGAGTGGTGCTACCACTAATTATACCTGTAATAAATTCATTAACTGTGCATCAAGTGAATGACGACAAATACACAAGTGTAGGGTTATACCAGAAAACGTGGATGATAATAATGGAGTAGTAATCGTATTATCGACGCAATCCGATATCCGAAAATGCTTTTACTGCATGGATACTATTACTAAACTATGACAATCAGGGGTATTTCCAAATAACGACATCCGATGAGCTCCACTTTTCTTTTTGTGTTTGTTTAGGCTGAAGAAATTAATTAAATTGCATGATCAACCAATCAGTGTTCAAAAATGAGTAAAACAAATATTGCCTCCAAATTTATTTAGCTGTCTTTGCAGACGGTAGCCCAGTCTCTTGTCACGCTCAGTTGCGTTGCGTATCATCCGGGTACTCAAGGGGAAAAAACAATAACAAAGGCAACAACCAGTCCCGGGGAATTGCTTTAGATCAGTGCCCCTTTAAGTAGCTAAGATCGTTGTAGTCCCTGAATAAACTTGACAAGATGGCATCCAAGACTTGGTCTGTTTCACATAAATAATCTGCTTTACGTTCAAACATTGCCTCCCTATTTTGATTTTGAACTTTATGATTCGAATCTACACTTTAACAACATGAAAAACGCACCACAGATTCAACGTCAGAAATATCGTTAATTGCAATAGTTAAGCATATAATTATCGAGTCGATAGCTGAAAGGAATATTCCCATCCAACTAAAAGCTGAAAGAAGTGTGAAACAACATTCCTTTTCGCTAAACAAGGGAAGACCTAAGTCGTCTGCAAGCGATTTGTAACGTCCGTGACCTTTTGGATGAATCAAGGGCAGCTTATCTTAGTTCATACTCTAGATGGGAGTGGTTTCCCTTTGTATAAGCCCGTAGAGTACAATCTACCTTACCCAGTGTATTAATGTTGTTGAATCGCTGAGCTCCCGCTATATTTCTTTTGGGTCACATTCGTGTCAGTTATTTTGTCTTTCGTTTATCATTAAATTAATAGACAAATACAAGTTGTAGAGCAAAACCATACATGTTTCAATCTAAAATCGAATTGGACGGGGATGAGAGGTTTTAATATCTGAATTTAAAAGAAATAAAATGCAAGTATTCATCAAACAAGCATATACCCATATGAGACATTTGAAATTTGTGTGAAATATCCCGTAAACAGCAAACGTAAATATCACACTTTCAAGAAAATAATTATCAATATAATTAATACCCATTGAATACATATTAAACAACTGCTTTCTCGAAACAAAATAATATTCATTATTCTTATTTCCCGTCCATGCATTCTTGAAATTCTCCGTCTTTCTGTTTTGAAAAGGTAGGCATAACATCCTTTGTTATAGCAACGAAACGAAAACATGAAGGATATATTTCGGATTTGACGAAAAGCTCCCCCAAATAGATGAAGATCATACATTTATGTGGTATGTTAGGACATATTATTATTATTCATTTAAATTTTCATAGTAATTATGTCACTAAATAACGTATTTATTCGTAATTTAAATACTTTTGATAAAACACGATTAGGTATTTCTCCAGTATGGATCTACGCTGCTTTTAGCAATATTCCAGCAATATCACAGCGGGGGACACCAGAAATGGGCTTCACACAATGTACCCATGTTGGGAATCGAAACTGGGTCTGCAGTGTGACAAGCGAACGCTTTAACCACGAGGCTACCCGACCGCCCCTCAGGCCTTTGTGATATCCCCATGCAGTTGTATATTGCTGACAGTCTTCTCAACTATTGCAGGCATGAAAAGCACTCAGTCGTGCTTGATGTTATGTTACGTGCCTCAACAGTCTTAAGTATACCAGTTATCTCCCTTTGTTAAATGATTACCCTGTTGTTGTACATCAGTGTGTGATATCAAATGGTTGCCCCTTTAAGGGAGGGTCCTGATGAGGGGGGTATTCATTAATTTTTCAGCTTAGTCAGCAAAACGGTCGCGAATCAGTCTTCTGTATCATTTTGAGTCTGTTTATTTGAAAAGTATTTTAAAAGGTATTATATTTTTCATAACTTTGTGTATTAGCTTGGTGTCTATACATGCAGTACTGCAGCAGAATATATCTGCATGAAGGAAAGCAGAACTTTTGTGAATCATTCACCTGAATAGAAATCCAATACTAGTAGTTATATATAGTATTCACGACCGTCCGTCCGTCCGTCCGTACGTCCGTCCGTACGTCACACCTGTTTGTTGCCGCGATATCTCAAGAACTAAACACTGGATTGTCTTCATATTTGGAACTATGGTGTATATACAGACTCCGCAGACACCAGTCGGTTTTGGTGACCTTGACCCCATTTTCAAGGTCACAGCAGGCATATCTGCTTTTGGAGTTGGAAAACGGTGTTGCCGCGATATCTCAAGAACTAAACACTGGATTGTCTTCATATTTGGAACTATGGTGTATATACAGACTCCGCAGACACCAGTCGGTTTTGGTGACCTTGATCCCATTTTCAAGGTCACAGCAGACAAATCTGCTTTTAGAGTTGGAAAACGGTGTTGCCGCGATATCTCAAGAACTAAACACTGGATTATCTTCATATTTGGAACTATGGTGTATATACAGACTCCGCAGACACCAGTCGGTTTTGGTGACCTTGATCCCATTTTCAAGGTCACAGCAGACAAATCTGCTTTTACAGTTGGAAAACGGTGTTGCCGCAATATCTCAAGAACTAAACACTGGATTGTCTTCATATTTGGAACTATGGTGTATATACAGACACCGCAGACACCAGTCGGTTTTGGTGACCTTGACCCCATTTTCAAGGTCACAGCAGGCAAATCTGCTTTTGGAGTTGGAAAACGGTGTTGCCGCGATATCTCAAGAACTAAACACTGGATTGTCTTCATATTTGGAACTTTGGTGTATATACAGACTCCGCAGACACCAGTCGGTTTTGGTGACCTTGATCCCATTTTCAAGGTCACAGCAGGCAAATCTGCTTTTGGAGTTGGAAAACGGTGTTGCCGCGATATCTCAAGAACTAAACACTGGATTGTCTTCATATTTGGAACTATGGTGTATATACAGACATCGCAGACACCAGTCGGTTTTGGTGACCTTGACCCCATTTTCAAGGTCACAGCAGGCAAATCTGCTTTTGGAGTAAGAAAACGGTGTTGCCGCGATATCTCAAGAACTAATCGCTGGATTGTCTTCATATTTGGAACTATGGTGTATATACAGACACCGCATACACCTGTCAGATTTGGTGACCTTGACCCCATTTTCAAGGTCACAGCAGGCAAATCTGTTTTTGGAGTTGGAAAACGGTGTTGCCACAATATCTCAAGAACATATTTGGTACTATGGTGTATATACAGGCGGGGGATATTTCGTCACTCTGTGACAAATACTTGTTGTGTATGACATCTATGAGATTTTAGCACGATTACGATAAATTGTTTTAATTTAAGCTGAGCATTTATTTATGGACATCTTATGGTAAAAAAATTGACTTGTTTTATGTTTATGGGGTTTTTTTTCGTTGTTTTACGCTAAACAATACACCCCCCATCAGGACCGTCTTTAAGGGGTTCTAATCATGATCCTAAATTTTGAAAATAAGGGACAACATCTGATTGCAAATTCACCCCCATTATGTTTCTAGGTTTGGCAGCATCTGCCTGTGCTCATGGGTTTCACCGAAGTGGTAAACGTCTGACACCTTCATCACTTCAGCCTTTCCTCCCACATTAAGCTGACACTCCGTGATATAACTGGAATACTGTTAAAAGCTGCGTTAAATCCAACTCACTCACACACTCACTCACTCACATTAAGGGATGAATATATTCCATTGACTGGTGCCAACTTTCAGTTTAGGTCTAGACATTGCAGTTAGAACTCTGTGTGAAACGCACATGTTGTTTCAGTGTAATACAGGTCTTTTGTAACTCCTTGATTATAGTACATAGTGAAATTTGAGTTGTAAACAACTTGAATCAACTATGCTTGTCCTAAGAGGCGACTAAAAGGATCGGGTGGTCAGGCTTGCTGACTTGGTTGATGCATATCATCGTATCTCAATTGCCTGGATCGATGCTCATGCTCAATCACTGGATTGTCTTGTCCAGACTCGATTATTTATCCGCCGTCATATAGGTGGAATATTGTGGCGTAAAACAACAAACATTGTGGCATTGAACCCAATTCACTCATTTCCAGAAGAAAATATGGTTGTCTGAGAGTTCAGTTCATGTGATTAGGACAAAGAAAGTGTTAAGGGATTGATCTTTGAAGTAACTCCTCCATATACCTTTCATTCAGTCAGTAATCATTAGTGATACAAGATCAATTGTACCGGTACATAAAAGTCATTGTGATTGAGTATGTAGTGGACATGGGTTTTAATAGTCTCTCTCTGTTTTTAAGGTAACAAGGTATGTCTGAAGAGCCTGAAAATGGTGGTGGCAAGGGAAGGGGGAAGAAGAAAAAAGGACCAACTCCTGGTGGACCTCCAAAGGGAAAACAAGATCAAGGGCCGTCAAGAGGGAAGCATGGTCCATCTCAAGGTCCAACAAGACCAGCTGCTCCACAAGGGTCTAATCAAGGACATCCTCGTGGACCAGGAGGTCATCAATACGCTCGTGGATCACCACAAGGAGGTTATCAAGGTCCTCCACAAAGAGGTTATCAAGGTCCTCCTCGTGGACCCCCACCAGGAGGTCATCAATATCCTCCGCAAGGGCCCCCACAAAGAGGTTATCAAGGTCCTCCTCGTGGACCCCCACCAGGAGGTCATCAATATCCTCCGCAAGGGCCCCCACAAAGAGGTTATCAAGGTCCTCCTCAGGGACCCCCACAAGGAGGTTATCAAGGTCCTCCTCAGGGACCCCCACAAAGAGGTTATCAAGGTCCTCCTCAGGGACCCCCACAAGGAGGATATCAAGGTCCAGGTTCTGGAATGGCTTACAATAACCCCCATCAGTCTGGGCCATCCTTGCTTGGCCAGGTGCCGGGTTATGATGCAGGCGCTTGTTTTATGCAGCCTGGACACATGCCAGGACCTGGCCCTCATGGCAATATGCAAGGTCAAGGCTATCCTCCTCCAGATTCACGTAACTTGTCAGACCGTGGGGAACGGGGACGGGAAGGGGAAAGAGGTAGTAGAAGAGGACAAAGAGGTGGAAGAGGAGGTGGGCAGGGGAAATATGATGATTCAGGTAGAAGAGAGTTTGGAAGTCAGTCTTCTCTCAATTCTGATAATAGAGGAAGAGGCAGAGGAAGGGGGCAGCCATTTCGAGGAAACCGTGGAGGTAGAGGAAGGGAATATGCATCAAGAGAAAATCTTTCCAGCAGTACTGCAAGCATACCATCCATTCTTGACCTTGACTTACAAACTAGAGAGACTAGCCAGACTCATGGTGATGATAGAGGAAGAGGAAGGGCAAGAGGTAGAGGAAGAGGTAGGGGTAGAGGCAGAGGTGAAGGCAGAGGCAGAGGCAGAGGCAGAGGCAGAGGCAACAGGGGCAATTCCAACCGAGGAAACTATTCCCGAAATGCCAATTTGAACAGAGAGGTATCTACAAGTACATTGAGTGTGGCATCATCTGTTGATGCATGGGAAGATGAAGAAGAGGATGAACAAGATGAACTATTGCAAATTGTTGAGTCATATATAAAAAAGAAGAGAAATCGAAGAAGACGCACTAGGGATAACAGTAGAGACGCCACACCTTCTAAGAGTATATTTGAAATTGATGATGAGGGAAATGCTGTTGCATCCGGATCTTCGGAAAGTGCTTTCAGAGGCTCGTCAAGGTCGAGAGGTAGTGTAAGAGGAAGAGGGGTGAATGTTCACATGAGAGGAAGAGGTAGGGGTGGGTATGTCAGAGGAAGAGGAGGAGTCAGGAGTATAGGAGAAACAACACATCCTGAGAAGTCAGAGAAATCAATTTCAAGAAGCCGATTGTCAATGCAGCAGGAAGAAGCAGCAGGCCAGACACTTGAAGAAGATGAGGCTTATTCAACTACTGATGAAGATGCCAAGTCTGAGGTTCACTACAAACCAATCAGTGCTAAGAAGAAAGGCCACGTTCCAGCAAAGTTTGTAACAACTGGCAAGTTTAATAAAGCAGGAAGAGGGAAAGTATCAGTCAGGAAATCTAAGGTGGCATCATCTGAGATATTTGGCAGCCTGTTAAAGGATATGCCCACTGATCCAGGAGAGGAGCTGCCTGGAGGGTGTGGAGTGAATAATATTCTAATGGGACTGCTGAAGAAGTATGATAGTGGCAGCGAGGAGTGTGTTCTGGATCTAGAGAAGACCAGTGAACTTGTTGGAAGGGAAGGAGCCTTTGGAAGAGATGATGGTTCAGGAGAAGCTACAGAAGGCTTGCTGAAGAAGAAGAAAAGGCTTAGGAAGAAGAAAACTCCTGACCGAATAAGAACTAGCAGTGAAAGAAGTAGTGCTTCTGATGGAGGCTGTCAAACTCGGGGAAAGACCGCACAATCAAGAGCTGATGAGGATGAAGATGAAGAAGTCAGTGATGTACAGAAAGCTTTCAGAAATTTGCTGACTCAGTTTGGTGGTAGAGCAAAGATGACTGAATTGTTGAAGCAGGAAGAAAAGTTTCCAAAGTCTTTCTTTGACCCTGACTGGCTACAAAAGCATAGCAAAAAGTTTCTCATATTTAAGAAAAAGGGATTGATAGAGTATGTGTCAGCGTACTTTCGTGAAGCAAAGTTGTGTGTATACTATAACAGTCCAAAAGGCTGCACCAATCAAGAGTGTGATTATTTTCACGTGTGCAGTGGCTTTGTTACAGAGTCTTGCAAGCCACACCTTCAAAAATGCCCCCGCACCCACAATTTCTTTGAGAAGGAAAATGGTGTATTAGTTGCAAAGCTTGGCCTGAAGGATTTTAAAAACAAAGAAATTGCTAAAATTGTACGCTGTACAGTTCCTGAGACTTGTAAAGAATATAACCATGGAACCTGCAGAGATGATTACTGCCCTTTTCTTCATGTTTGTGATCAGTTTCCTTGCAAATGCAAGTCATGTCAGTTGGAGCATGAGTGCCTCTCCTCAGACCACAACAAATGGGTCTTGACTTGCTTCCGTATTGTCCATTTCAAAGAATACAACCTCATCAGAATGGTTCTTGGTAAAAACAAACCAGTGGAGCTTGCATCGACTCCTAGTGTGTCATGTGGACAAAAAGAGCCCAGTCTCACAACTCCGATTGAACCGACCACAAGAGCCCAATATGAACCTGAAAGTAGGGTTCACAATGAACCAACCCCAAGATCACAATATCAACCAGAAATTAATCTTGAACCATTATCCAGAGCTAGTCCTGAACCAGCACCAAGAGCTCCCCCTGAACCAGTTCCAAGAACATACCCTGAACCAGCTCCAAGAACTTACCCTGAACCAGCTCCAAGAACTCGCACTGAACCATTATCTAGAGCTCCCTCTGAACCAGCTCCAAGAACATACCCTGAACCAGCTCCAAGAACTTACCCTGAACAAGCTCCCCAAGGTCGATATGAACTTGATCCTAGAACTCACACTGAACCAGCTCCACAAGTTAGGTATGAACCAGATCCTAGAGCTAACCCTGAACAATCTCCGAGAGTGTACCCTGAACCAGCTCAAAGAGCTCGGTATGAACCAGCTCCAAGAGCATACCCTGAACCAGCTCCACAGGCTCAGTATGAACCAACTCAAGGAGCTCGGTATGAACCAGCTCCAAGAGCGTACCCTGAACCAGCTCCACAGGCTCAGTATGAACCAACCCAAGGAGCTCGGTATGAACCAGATCCTAGAGCTAACCCTGAACAATCTCCGAGAGTGTACCCTGAACCAGCTCAAAGAGCTCGGTATGAACCAGCTCCAAGAGCATACCCTGAACCAGCTCCACAGGCTCAGTATGAACCAACTCAAGGAGCTCGGTATGAACCAGCTCCAAGAGCGTACCCTGAACCAGCTCCACAGGCTCAGTATGAACCAACCCAAGGAGCTCGGTATGAACCAGATCCTAGAGCTAACCCTGAACAATCTCCGAGAGTGTACCCTGAACCAGCTCAAAGAGCTCGGTATGAACCAGCTCCAAGAGCATACCCTGAACCAGCTCCACAGGCTCAGTATGAACCAACTCAAGGAGCTCGGTATGAACCAGCTCCAAGAGCGTACCCTGAACCAGCTCCACAGGCTCAGTATGAACCAACCCAAGGAGCTCGGTATGAACCAGACCCAAGAGCTTACCCTGAACCAACACCAAGAACTTATCCTGAACCAGCCCCTCGGGCTAGGTATGAACCAGACCCTAGATCTCAAACTGAACCAGTTCCACGAGCTCAGTATGAACCAACTCAAGGAGCTCGGTATGAACCAGACCCAAGAGCTTACCCTGAACCAGCTCCAAGAGCTGAACCAGCCCCAAGACCTTACCCTGAACCAGCTCAAAGAGCTGAATCAGTCCATGTAACTCACCATGAACCAACACCTAGGGTTTATGAAGCAGTCCCAATGGCTCAGCACCAAGCATCACCTCGTGTTGAAGCAGGCCCTTCCGGGAGTGTTGTAGGTGTTGAAGCAGGCCCTTCAGGGAGTGTTGTAGAGATTGGTGAGGGTCAGTACCTGTGTGAGCAGCACACCTGGGACACCTGTAAGAAGGGGCATGCATGCCCCTATTACCATGCCAGTAGAAGAATGCCCTACCAGTGGCAGGTGGAGCTGAAAAAGGACTCCTGGACCAACTTCCCTGACATGGCCAATGAAAGATGCGAGAAGGCCTTCTGCAATCTGGAGTTGAGTGTAAACAGGATGTTTGTAAGACATTTTCAGTATAGTCTTCTTTTGTTCTTTGAACAATGAGAATAGGTCCCAAGCTTGTGTCCCTCAGGGGGTTCTAGACAGAATAGGTCCCCAAGCTTGTCTGCTCAGGGGGTTCTAGACAGAATAGGTCCCCAATACCTCATGCTTATCTCCCTATGGGGATTCTAGGCAGAATAGGTCCCCAGTACCTCATGCTTGTCTCCCTATAGGGATTCTAGGCAGAATAGGTCCCCAGTACCTCATGCTTATCTCCCTATGGGGATTCTAGGCAGAATAGGTCCCCAGTACCTCATGCTTGTCTCCCTATAGGGATTCTAGGCAGAATAGGTCCCCAATACCTCATGCTTATCTCCCTATAGGGATTCTAGGCAGAATAGGTCCCCAGTACCTCATGCTTGTCTCCCTAAAGGGATTCTAGGCAGAATAGGTCCCTAGTACCTCATGCTTGTGTCCCTATAGGGATTCTAGGCAGAATAGGTCCCCAGTACCTCATGCTTGTCTCCCTATCAGGATTCTAGGCAGAATAGGTCCCCAGTACCTCATGCTTGTCTCCCTATAGGGATTCTAGGCAGAATAGGTCCCCAGTACCTCATGCTTGTCACCCTATAGGGATTCTAGGCAGAATAGGTCCCCAGTACCTCATGCTTGTCTCCCTATAGGTCTTCTAGGCAGAATAGGTCCCCAGTACCTCATGCTTGTCTCCCTATAGGGATTCTAGGCAGAATAGGTCCCCAGTACCTCATGCTTGTCTCGCTATGGGGATTCTAGGCAGAATAGGTCCCTAGTACCTCATGCTTATCTCCCTATGGGGATTCTAGGCAGAATAGGTCCCCAGTATCTCATGCTTGTCTCCCTATAGGGATTCTAGGCAGAATAAACCCCCAGTATCTCATGCTTGTCTCCCTATAGGGATTCTAGGCAGAATAGGTCCCCAGTACCTCATGCTTGTCTCCCTATAGGGATTCTAGGCAGAATAGGTCCCCAGTACCTCATGCTTGTCTCCCTATAGGGATTCTAGGCAGAATACGCCCCCAGTACCTCATGCTTGTCTCCCTATAGAGATTCTAGGCAGAATAGGCCCCCAGTACCTCATGCTTGTCTCCCTATGGGGATTCTAGGCAGAATACGCCCCCAGTACCTCATGTTTGTTGCCCTATAGGGATTCTAGGCAGAATAGGTCCCCAGTACCTCATACTTGTCTCCCTATGGGGATTCTAGGCAGAATAGGTCCCCAGTATCTCATGCTTGTCTCCCTATAGGGATTCTAGGCAGAATACGCCCCCAGTACCTCATGCTTGTCTCCCTATAGAGATTCTAGGCAGAATACGCCCCCAGTACCTCATGCTTGTCTCCCTATGGGGATTCTAGGCAGAATACGCCCCCAGTACCTCATGCTTGTCTCCCTATAGAGATTCTAGGCAGAATACGCCCCCAGTACCTCATACTTGTCTCCCTATGGGGATTCTAGGCAGAATACGCCCCCAGTACCTCATGCTTGTCTCCCTATAGGGATTCTAGGCAGAATACGCCCCCAGTACCTCATGTTTGTTGCCCTATAGGGATTCTAGGCAGAATACGCCCCCAGTACCTCATGTTTGTTGCCCTATAGGGATTCTAGGCAGAATAGGTCCCCAGTATCTCACGTTTTTACATAATTTTACCATTTCTTTTTACCTTATGAACAGTGGATGATTTATACTTTTGAAAAGAAATTCAGGACCACCTGATTCTTTCGTCTTTATCTGTCATGCCATGACAGATTGACACTGGTAATGTGTAAGAATCGGGTGGTCTTATCTTCTTTGGAGTTGCTTGAACTGACTGATCCGCTCGTTAATTACTTAATTGCACAGAAAGCTTGAATATTGCAGAGTATACCATAAACAACAAACAAACTGAAGTTCTGACACTTTTATACTGCACATGGGGCGGTCGGGTAGCCTAGTGGTTAAAGCGTTCGCTCGTCACGCCGAAGACCCCGGTTCTATTCCCGACATGGGTACAATGTGTGAAGCCCATTTCCTGTGTCCCCCGCCGTGATATTGCTGGAATATTGCTAAAAGCGGCGTAAAACCAAACTCACTCACTCACTCTTCACGGGTAATATTGTGTTTCAGCTGAGCAGCATTATTGTTGATATTAATCTGGACAAGATGACGGCAAGCCTGACCCTCAATGACCCGACCAGCACAGTGGTCACAGACGATGTGAATGTCCGCCGACTCTCCACGCGGTCCTACTGTGAGGGGGAAGGGGTGTTGTCCTACTTCACCTTCTGGTGCTGGTACTGGCTGGACAACGGACTCAGGTGGAATCTATATGAGCCGGTCAGTTTAGGAGAGCTTTGCTTTCTTTGTTCTTTTCTGTTAAATATCTTGGTCGGTTGGTAAAAATAAAAAATCATTTCAGATTTCATTTCAGTTCTTCCAAAGTTTGATTGCAGCGTTTGAAATTGGCACTTGTCCTGTAGTCCTTGCCAAACATCCCAATAGTAAAGGTATCCTTAGGACTAGTAGATATTTGCCATTTTTAAGGGTTTTGCTATGTTATCATTACAAGGACTAGTGGACTAAAATTGTTAGTTTCCACCCCTGGATTGTTGCATGTTTACTAACCATCTGAAGTATGCAGTTTTTTTCTAAAAGGCATTTACCGTATTCGACGTAATAAGCGCCCAGGGCGCTCTCAAAATTAGAAATAGGGGCTCTTACCAGAATATTATTTTGGGGAAAAAAACTGAGTTGAAAGATAAATATCGTTATTTATGCTGAAATATTTATGTACGACAGATATATTTTTCCATAATTCAATTACCCCTAATTAAGGGTGCATATAACACATGAGTGCTTATTATATGCGAATAAATAAGTCTTGTGAACATTGATCAATCCGAAGGGGTGCTAATTGGCATTGTTCACTAGCCAATATATTAGCAAATATCGCCGTCGGCGCTTATTAGAGCGGGGCGCTTATTACGTCGAGTACGGTAAATAGAATGAATACATGCAAGACATAAACCTGTGAAAGGTTTCTTGTGTTCTGTTATGACCCAGACAAAAAGTTATATCACCTTGTAACTGACGTTGTTGTGATGGAAGTTTGTTGTTGTTGGTTTGTTGTTTAACGCCGCACTCAGCAATATTCCAGCTATATGACGGCGGTCTGTAAATAATCGAGTCTAGACCAAACAATTCAGTGATCGATATCATGAGCATCGACCCACGCAATTGGGATCGATGACACGCATCAACCAAGTCAGCGAGCCTGACCACCCGATCCTGTTAGTCGCCTCTTACGACAAGCATAGTCACCTTTTACGGCAAGCATGTGTTGCTGAAGACCTATTCTACCCCGGAATCTTCACGGGTCTGTGATGGAAGTGAAAGTTAGTTTGAGTTCCTGAAATAGCAAAATATGTCAAACTATGTTTTTAACGAACACGCTTTTAACGAACTGACTGATGTAACAAACTTATTTTTTAGTCCCGGTCCTTTGTTGTAACAAACTCAAAGGGACCACTTATTTTTATTTTTTTAAGTTTCCATGGCAACAAGTTGGATTAGAGTTTTAATATAGGGTGGGTTCACTTTTCCCAAACTCAAAGGGACCAATTATTTTAGTTTGTTATAACCGTAGTTCGTTTAAGATACCAGAAGCATTGGTTGGTTGGTTGGTTGTTTAATGCCGCACTCAGCAATATTCCAGCTATATGACGGCTCCAGAAGCATTGATTCCACTGCAGCTGTGATAGGGAAAGTGTAGGAATAGGTATTCAGTAACCCATGCATGCCGTAAAAGATGACTACGCTTGTCGTTAGAGGCGACTAACGGGATCGGGTGGTCAGGCTCGCTGACTTGGTTGATGCATGTCATCGTATCCAAAATGCTCATGATGTTAATGACTGGATTGTCTGGTCCAGACAAAATTATTATCCCCCCGGCATATAATGCGGAGGGATATAGCTGTGGGCATGTCCGTCTGTCTGTCCATCTGTCAGAATCGTTTCCGGAGCAGAGCTCGAAAACCGTTCAATATTTCTTCATCAAACTTTGCATTTATATCACCTTAGCGGTGAAGTTGTGCCTTTTGCTATTTTGGAATTTTTCCAATTTTTTTATTTTTATTTTTTACGTTTCCATGGCAACAAGTTGGATTATAGTTTTAATATAGGGTGGGTTCACTTATGGAGTATAACAAATAAACTGTTAAATATTTCCTTGCCAAACATTGCATGTCTATATATAAAGCACATACTGAACTGGTGCCATTTGAAATTAAGGGGTTTTAGAAATGTTTATTTTAGAATTTCCATTGCAGCTTTTTTGGCATGGGTTAAGAGAAATGTTGGGTCAATTACCTGGTTTGGGACTATAACGTGTTAAAATGGGCGGGGGATATAGATGACTTCGTTGACTATACACTTGGTTAGTTATTGTTTCTTGTAATTTGTCATTTGTTTGCATAAAAAAACCCACAGAAACACACTTGTTTTACTCTCCATTTCATATGGATGCGACCATGGTGGATCTTTTGTGGGTAAACAATGTATGCTTCTTCAAGAACATTCAACTCTTGACTCATTACATACAGAATTGCACATTTACTTGTGGTTGCTTTACAGACAGTTGCCGGGGGATATGTCATCTTTCTGATGACTCTTGTTTACAGACCACTGTCATATACCGGTAGTTGGAATATTGCTAAGTGCAGCGTTAAACAACAAACAAACAAACAGTCACAAACAAACAAACAGTCACAAACAGATCAGTGTTGGTCGACTGGAGCTGCTTTCTTCACTTGGGTTGTTAGAACAGCACTGGTCATGTAGAATGTTTCTAACCTGTAGCTAGTGATGGACATTATAGTGATTATTCATAAATGTATCGAAACAGGACCATGACCCAGTGCTAGCCCAGACACAGTGATTTGTGTGACATTGAGATCATTTTGATTTATTATTATTTCGATAATAATTGTAAAATATTTTCTTCAATTTCAGGATAAAAGACAGTACACGCTTGAGAAGAAGCTGCTGTACGGTCAGTCAGAATATTATTTTGAAAATGTGCTCGAGAATAGCATATTCCATTACCAACTAACTTTCGCAATGAATGGAATGGTGCAGAAGAACTTGGAGACTGGAAACGTCCGTCGGGTCATCAGGCGGCCTTTATTTGTAGCCCAGAGAGACGTGGAGGACAAAATTGTTCTGTAAGTGTGGTAGATATCCAATCGAATTAAAAGATGAAATCACGTTAGAAATAGGGGGCTCTTATTAGAATATTATTTTGGTGAAAAACAACAGAATTGAAAGATCGTAAATTTCGTGGTTTATGCTGACAGCCTGAAATGTTATACGACGGATATATTTTTGCCAGAATTTAATTTCCCGTAATTAAGAATACATATAACATACGTATCATACACGAATAAATAAGTCCTGTGTACATTGATCAATCTGAAGGGGTGCTAATTGGGATTGTTCACTAGTCAATATATAAGCAAATCTCGCCGTGGGCGCTTATTAGAGCGGGGCGCTTATTACGTCGAATACGGTTTCCTTTTTGGGTGAAGATGCCATGGTGCTCAGAAACAACAGGGTGTATAAAATATCCACATCAATATAATGGTGTAGCCTTTATTATTTCCATTCAGAATAGGCCGAATATTCTCATATTCTCATGGTACCAAAAATCAGATATGCTGGTCTGAATGTTTGACTCTTTTGTGCCGAGAATTTAGAAGCCTCAACACTGATTGGTTGATTAGACAGTTTGTAGTAATTAGTAGTGGGGCTCATCATGTGTGTTTCGGTTTTTGTTGTGTGTTAAATTTGACCTTTATTTGACGACTGCACTTTGACCTTTGCACTCACACTGTTAGCATCATCTCCTCAGAAACCACTACAACCGTGAAGCTGAAAGTATCCCCACCAATGATGACACCCAAATTTGTTAAAGAGAATCTAATTTGATTTTCAATATGGCCACCACGGCAGCCATATTGAAGAAAGCTATTTGTAGCCATTACTCAGTCAGTTTTGGTAAATGTAAAGAAGTTTGGTATTTGGTTTGTTTGTTGTGAGATTCAACTCATTTCCTACATATTTTTTACATTTGACAATTATTTTGGACCTTGTTTGACCTTGTTTTTAAATTCTCTCAAAATGCACTTGTGGCTCTGTAAGCAAGGTAAATCTTCTATTATCATGTGTCACACTTTTGCATTATGTCTCTTTTTTGTCAAACTAAACATGGATCTCTCTCCCAATTCCCCCCTTTTTCTCTGGCCACAGGTTACCCAGGCCAGTAATTAATCTAAGGCACTGCATTTCACTATGCTGAGATGGCTCTCTTTAGAGTTTTTCAAATCTATCATTGAAGGTTCCGGAGCTACAGATAAGCAACGTATTTGCGTAAAATACCCCCTCCCAAATATTCAAAACAAATTACTTTCAATTAACTTGCATACAGAGCTTCATGCATTAAATGAAAAACTCAAATATACAAAAGCAGCTCACGTAAATACCCAATGAAGCTTTTTTTTCAACATGCGTACAAAGGAGCTCATTTCCGAAACACAATTAAGAGGTAATTTACTTTCCGAGTCAAGCCTATAAATTTAGAACAGTTATATACATCTAAAACATTACTTCATATTATTTTAATCTTAAAATGTTCATTAATTATTGGAGAAACCTAATAGAGCCATGAATAGATGAGTGAAAAAATATTGGTTACCAAATGAAAAATGTTATAACCTAATTGAAATAGAAACCCTAGAGTAAAAAACTCAATTGCTCAAAAACTTATCCGGAGCACTGAGGTTCTAGTGACTACCGTATTTCCTCTATTAGACGCCCGGGCTTCTATTTATTTCCGACAAGCCTTTGACCCGGTGTCAATTAGAGGCCCAGCGTCTATTGAAGGCCCAGCTTCTATTTATACCCCCATTTCACTATGACCATGAATGTCCCGGATCATTAATTGTATCAATTGATCGACCCGGCATCTATTGGAGGCCCGGCTTCTATTAATACCCCCATTTCACTATGACCACGAATGTCCCGGATCATTAATTGTATCAATTGATCGACCCGGCATCTATTGGAGGCCCGGCTTCTATTAATACCCCATTTCACTATGACCACAAATGTCCCGGATCATTAATTGTATCAATTGATCGACCCGGGTCTATTGGAGGCCCGGCTTCTATTAATACCCCATTTCACTATGACCACAAATGTCCCGGATCATTAATTGTATCAATTGATCGACCCGGCATCTATTGGAGGCCCGGCTTCTATTAATACCCCATTTCACTATGACCACGAATGTCCCGGATCATTAATTGTATCAATTGATCGACCCGGCGTCTATTAGAGGCCTGGCTTCTATTTTTTGCTCTGAACAATTGACCCGGCTTCTATTAGAGGCCCAGCGTCTAATAGAGGAAATACGGTAGTTTCTAAACTTAAATAGTGTCTAAAGAGGCATCACACTCATCCTTTCTGTTATTCACACCTCAGCTCCCACCCTGACCTCCTGCAACAAGCTCCCAAGTTGCCTCGCGACATGCCCACACACTGGACACCCCTGGACCTGGTCCAGTCCTTCGAACTGGTCAGTCTGGACGTGGAGGCCAACATGTACTTGCAGGTCAAGAGGAGGTTATACGCCACAATGCCCCAGAATCAGTACCGCATCACGGCCATCTACCAGGTGCAGAACCCAACCATGTGGGACAAGCACCTCAGGTGAGACAGCTTCATCATCCTGAATGTCATCTCTTTTCATGAGGAACTTGAGGAAATGTTTGTAAGTGAGGTGAAATTGGGTTTAACGTCGCGTCCAAGATTATTGCACTTACATAGCGACGTGCATGTGTGTGTTTGTGTGGCTGCTTGTACTCGTCCGGACTGATGCCAATTTATAGTGCTAGCTCACCGAGATACCACGCCATAGTTTTAACACAAATACCCCACTCAGACACAGTATACTGACTCCGAGCCGACCAGTCCTTGTTTTAGCCCCTTAATGCCGAGTGCCAGGCAGGGTAACAACAAGTACCATATTTTAACTCTTTTGGCGTGATGCGACCGGGGTCAAACCCCGGGCCGTCCACTCTCCGGGCAGACGCTCTACCACAAGACTACGGAGGCGGTCGAAATGTTTGTAAGTCAGTGAAATAGTATGAACAGGTTCTCAATTAAAGAATGTCTGAGTATGGGTCCTTTAATTTGGAAGGGAAAGTGGGGGAAAAAGTATCATTTATCAAGTCTCAAACAAGAAGCATTTGTTTCCCGCCAAAACTCTACAGCTAGTGAATATCCTGAATGGTGCTATTGGGGCGGTTGGGTAGCCTAGTGGTTAAAGCGTTTGCTCGTCATGCCAAAACCCCGGGTTCGATTCCCAACATGGGTACAATGTGTGAAGCCCATTTCTGGTGTCCCCCGCCGTGATATTGCTAGAATATTGCTAAAATCGGCTTAAACCATACTCAATCACTCGAGACTATAATTTGCTATTACTGTTTTTCGAAATTACAAACACATTTACACTAACAACCTGACCTAATGTATCCAAAAAAGGAGTGGATCGATGCTCATGATATTAATCACTGGATTGTCTGGTCCAGACTCGATTATTTACAGACCGCTGCCATATAGCTGGAATATTGCTGAGTGCAGCGTTACACAACAAACCAACCAACCAACCAACTTAGGGTTTAAGCAGAATCAGGGGCAGTCGGGTAGCCTTATGTTTAAAGCATTTGATCGTCACAACGATGACCCGGGTTCGATTCTCGATATTGGTACAATGTGCGAAGCCCATTTCTGGTGTCCCCTGCCGTGATATTGCTGGAATATTGCTAAGAATGGGGTAAAGACATTGTCACTCGATTACTTACCCTTTGCAGAATTAGCAGAACCCTAACGGGCACTTAGAGGTTATATTTTTATATCAGCTGACACGCCGTGATATAACTGGAATACTGTTAAAAGCGGCATTAAACCAAACTCACTCACACTCTTATTTTCTTAAATTCAGAAGACTTTTCATATGGTATACTAACATTACATTCAATGCAATAATGTAAAGCTAAAAATGAAAGCCTCTTCTGTATTGGCCCTGTTATCAGTGAAATACAAGTCACCTCTACAGAGTCATACCTTGAGATTGGACCTGCTTAATTGGGAATTTGACTGGCATAAATTTTGCTGCCGACTTGGACCGAATATTGGCCTCGGAGCATGTCTTGATAAATCTCTGATATCATTAGCTTTTGCCTGTTGTGTATCAAAAATATCTGTGACATGTTAACAGCATCTGGAAGATCTGGGTAAGAACTGGTCTTCAGCAACCCATGCTTGTCGTAAGAGGCGACTAACGGGATGATGTGGTCAGGCTTGTTGACAAGTTGATGCATGTCTTGCGTATGTCAATGCTAATGATGTCAATCACTGGATTTTCGGGTCCAGACATAATTATTTACAGACTGACGCCATTTAGCTGAAATATTGCTGAGTGCGGCATTAAACAACAACAACAAACAAACAAACAGCATATAAACAACCTGTTAATTCAAGTTGAATTTTTCATTTTTTTACTTACCACTTTTATTGCTTTATGTGTGACAGTTTCTTCAGTTTCTTTCTGTAGATTTCAGTCATCGGTTACCTTTCAAATCACTGATCCAGATCCTTAAACTGTTATCCATTTTTCAGCCACAAGCGCTCAATGGAACATACTGCTCAGAGAGAAGGCTTGACTGAGCCTATTAATGAACAACAGCTGTTTCATGGCACTGATTCGGAGGAAGTTGTTCGCGGCATCTGCGTCAACGGCTTTGACTTTCGTGTAAGTGGCAAGAATGGTACCGTGTATGGAAAGGGGGCATACTTTGCGAGAGACGCCTCCTACAGCAACAACTACACCAACATCAGGGGCAAGAGGTACATGTTTCAGGCCAAGGTACTGGTTGGTCGCTTCACGAAGGGCACGGCCGACATGACACGACCTCCACCGAGGGCAGGTCACGTGCTGTACGACTCGTGCGTCAATGACATTAATCAACCAACCATTTTTGTCACCTTTGACCAAAATCAGTCGTACCCAGAGTTCCTGATTGAATATGAAGACATGTCGCCAGGGGCAAGGGTACCAGCACCCCAACCCACCCACCCATCACCGTCAGCGCAAGTACCGCTGTCACCATCAGCGCAAGTACCGCCGTCACCGTCAGCGCAAGTACCGCTGTCACCATCAGCGCAAGTACCGCTGTCACCAACAGCGCAACAACCGCTAGCTTACCCTGCGTCCTACAGTATGCCTGCCTACCCCCACCACACATACAATCCTCCACCCCCAACGAGTCCAGGAAGAAGGACACCCAGACTGACGTCGCAACCCAAAAAGTCTTCTGATAGCTGTGCTGTAATGTAACTTAGGGCATGGGGACACATGTCCTACTTCAACAGGACGCACACACACACACACACACACACACACACACACACACACACACACACACACACACACACACACACACACACGTCTATCTTGAGTGTATGTGGAACAGTGATATATATACCAATACACAAAGGAATATAACTCCCCACTCATTGTTTGTTTACCACTAATATGGTTAATCTGGATAACTCCACTAAAAACTGTGTGCTGTGTAGATTAACAGAGATTCACTGCATATGCGATGTGGTGACTGATGCAGTGGTTATATATAATTTCTATGCTGATGGGTTAAATTGACACAATGAGTTACAATGACACAATGAGTTAAAATGACACAATGAGGTAAAATGACACAATGCGTTAAAATGACACAAATAGTTAAAATGACACGATGGGTTAAAATGACACCATGCGTTAAAATGACACAAATAGTTAAAATGACACAATGAGTTCAAACGACACAATGAGTTAAAATGACACAATGAGTTAAAATGACACAACCAATCAGATGGTGACAATGGTTGCCATTGCGCACACACACAAAACATCCAGAATGCAAGAATGACAAAGAAAAGCAGGATCTTGTTTTGTTGTGTGACTTATCACAATCTTCCTAAGATGGACATGTGATGTCCTGATGTAGCATTCCATGTCTCATTACTGAACTGAAACCAAGGCTGTCATGTAATTTGAAGGCGCACCTGTTTGCTTGGTTTGAAAATGAGCAATAGTGTTCTGAGGTTATGAATTCTCGACCAATTATTTGTTTCAATTAATCAGTTTGGGATCAGTGGATCTGAGTGATTACGTACAGCCTCAATAAATGTTGGCTCAAGCCTGAAGATGGACAGCAAGTGTCTCATATGTAATATTGGGAGTCAGCAGCCTTCAATAGAGACTGCTTCAACAGCAGGAAATTTCAGAGATATTTTATACTATACTGGCAAGAGTCTTTGACCCAACTCTTTTGGTATGGAACCCTTGTAATCTGAGAATCTCGGTGTCAAACAACAGCATGTGCTGTGCCACCATGGGGGACATATTTTTGTAGATCCACAGAAATGGTTTGGAGGTCAGCTCACGTTACGAAGTGAAGGTTTACTCTATGATGGCCTTTCTGGCATGCAAGGCAATGCCATTGAGATAGTAATGTCATATGGGATCCTTTTGGGAAAATAGTTATATGTGGGCAAGCCTCCAGACTTGGTTAAGTGGAGAAACTCTTGTCATCCCTGGTTAGTATTTCCACTGGGCACAGATTTTCTGTGCATTTTTCTGGATTTATCTAGCCTACTCTGGTGGTTTTTCAGCAGCTAAAACATGCTTGAAGGGCGGTATTCATTGCAGGGTAGTTTGGGGCTTTGAGGAAGGCTTCATTCTGTTCCGTTTTGACTGTACTGCATCTTCGTGAGACTTAGAGAGGGTTTTGTCCTCAGTGTCAGGCTATGTCATGATGGATTCTTTGGATTGTCTGAATGTCCAGGCTTCTGAGAAAATTTCATGATTGATTATTTGGATTGTCAGGTGTGGACAGAGGTACCTCTCAATTCTAGGTATGGATAGTGGTATCTCTCAATCCTAGGTGTGGACAGTGGTACCTCTCAATTATTGGTATTGACAGTGGTACCTCTCAATTCTAGGTAAGGACAGTGGTACCTCTCAATCCTAGGTGTGGACAGTGGTACCTCTCAATTATAGGTAAGGACAGTGGTACCTCTCAATTATAGGTAAGGATTGTCTGAACTTTCAGCCTTCTGAGAATATTTTACGATTGAGGCTATTTCATGATTGTTTTCATTGCTTTCATTGCTTGTCTCGGCGATCACTAATTCAATCTTGATACATGTGCCATTGACAGACCTTTGTTCATGTTTTGCTCACATTTCTGCAAGTTTGTTTTATTTAGTGATGAATCCTTTGGCGCCAAGGAAAACAGCATCATGTATACTGACACATCAAGGTCACTGTTGAATCCATAATCTCATAATTGATATACTTGATTATTAACATTATGATACAGTGTTTCAATTGATGGTGGAATTGTTCCACCCTTCTTTGAATGGGATAAAATTAATAGATTTTGTGTGACCTCTGTATAAGGTCAAGGTCACTACAGGCTGCTCATGAAGTGCTCTTGATTGGCATGGATATGTTTGAGATCCTGTGGCAAGGTGTTATGAGCTATTCTACCCAGGATCTTCAGGGGTCTGTTGGTGACAGCAGAGACCATATAATATTATATGGTCTCTGGTGACAGAGAGTAGGTGGATGGGTGACCTGCCCCGCACTGAAACACAGGGTTCTGTTGTGTCACATTTGGCAAAAGACTTCAAAATATCCAGCTGTTCACCCAGCAGTGAATGGGTACCTGGTAGGATATGATGGTAAAGTGACTGTAAATCTCCTTGTGCCTCAAAGGCAGCTTGGGTCCGAAGACCGGGGTTATAATAATGTAGGACCCTAAGCAATGACTTGGTGAATGGAATATGGCCCGTTATAAATGGACTATTATTATTGTTGTTGTTATTGTTGTTAAAAAACAAAGACGTGTAAGTGTGGTTAAGTTCACAGGTTATGTGAGGTTGGTTGGATTACCACTCGGAGACCATGAAGTGGGACCCCATGGTTGCCTCAATATTCTGCTGTGGTAGCTCTCAATCCTAGGTGTGGACAGTGGTACCTCCCAATTCTAGGTGTGGACAGTGGTACCTCTCAATTCTAGGTGTGGACAGTGGTACCTCCCAATTCTAGGTGTGGACAGTGGTACCTCCCAATTCTAGGTAAGGACAGTGGTACCTCTCAATCCTAGGTGTGGACAGAGGTATCTCTCAATTCTAGGTGTGGACAGTGGTACTTCTCAATCCTAGATGTGGACAGTGGTACCTCTCAATCCTAGGTGTGGACAGTGGTACCTCTCAATCCTAGATGTGGACAGTGGTACCTCTCAATTCTAGGTAAGGACAGTTGTACCTCTCAATCCTAGGTGTGGACAGTTGGTACCTCTCAATCCTAGGTGTGGACAGTGGTACCTCTCAATCCTAGGTATGGACAGTGGTACCTACTCATTTCTAGGTAAGGACAGTGGTACTTCTCAATTCTAGGTGTGGACAGTGGTACCTCTCAATCCTAGGTGTGGACAGTGGTAGCTCTCAATCCTAGGTGTGGACAGTGGTACCTCCCAATTCTAGGTAAGGACAGTGGTACCTCTCAATCCTAGGTGTGGACAGAGGTATCTCTCAATTCTAGGTGTGGACAGTGGTACTTCTCAATCCTAGATGTGGACAGTGGTACTTCTCAATCCTAGGTGTGGACAGTGGTACCTCTCAATCCTAGATGTGGACAGTGGTACCTCTCAATTCTAGGTAAGGACAGTTGTACCTCTCAATCCTAGGTGTGGACAGTTGGTACCTCTCAATCCTAGGTGTGGACAGTGGTACCTCTCAATCCTAGGTATGGACAGTGGTACCTACTCATTTCTAGGTAAGGACAGTGGTACTTCTCAATTCTAGGTGTGGACAGTGGTACCTCTCAATCCTAGGTGTGGACAGTGGTACCTCTCAATTCTAGGTGTGGACAGAATTGAGAGGTAAGGACAGTGGTATCTCTCAATTCTAGGTGTGGAGTGTGGTAACTCTTAATTCTAGGTGTGACAGCTTTTTGACCATCCCATGGTTCACTATGCTGTGTGATGATGCTCTAGTGATTACAGTCAGGGATTGAACTGTTCTGTTGGATCAGTTGTTAGCATCCTTAATCAACTTCAGAGTATCATTTCAAGTGGAATAGCGTAAGATGTCCATCCTGATTTGATAGTTATTCCCTATAAAAGGCCATCCAATCTGATAAAGTGCTGACTGGACACCAACATATGATGTCACTGAATAAATGACTTCTTATGATTAATACAAATGATACTTGAAATCGTACAGACACAGAGATGTGCTTCATAGCATTGAGCTTTGACCTATTCTCCCCGTACTGTGAAACCCCCAGTCTGGACTCTGATGGTCCGCAATGCCCAGACAGGTTGTAATGTATCAAGGGACATAACTCTCTTCCCATCATTCCTAAGTATGAAGATTTGTTGATACTTGTTATTTCACTGAGAAAGGAGCATGGGTGGTCTAGACGCCTAAGGCACCACAATTCACGTGATTTGGGCATGCCAGAAACCTACGATCGTGGGTTCGAAAACGTCTCAGACCTGCATCACTTTGGGCTTTCTTCTTACATCTCGTTGACACTGTGATGTAACTGGAAAACTAGTCAAAGTGGCATGAGACCCAACTCTCTCAATCATTATTTGATTAAGAATGGTTGTCTGGATTACCAGAGTTTTACTGTTTATGAAGTCCGGTGTAATTTATATGTAAACGGTGAGTGGTCGTGCAACAATTTTGTATATGCTTGATAGGCTGGTGGTATTACATGCGTTACATGCATTAACATCTTCCTGAGGCAAGGGAGTGAACTGACCATTGGAGTCCAGTTACCACCCTTGCCGAACTAGACTGGAATGTATGAGTTACCAGTATTTTTTGGCTGGAATAACAAATTATTTAAGAATTGACTTCAATTACTTTACCATTTATGAACACATTTATTTATGTTTATAACTCCATAATTCACAAATATATTTGAAGTAAGTTCATACAATTAATTATGTCAACAATAATAACTTCACAAACTGCTTTTTTAATGATTAACAACAACAAAACTGAAGACAGAAAACTGCTTTGTGAGTGGTGTGGCCTAATCTATTTTCGGTTTGTGGAAATATCGCAAAAATAATTCCTTTGTTAGCCAGTCAAAATGCCATGGAATCGCTTGCAACATATTTGTAACAAATTATGTCAGTGACATATTCGTGTGAGAGAATTAGATCTATCTGATGTCAGCTGCATGTGTCTGACTCACAGAATGGCAACACTTCAAACATAAATAACATCATGTCTGTACACGCAGAGCCAACTGTTTGGGTTCTTTCAAGAGTCAGATAGCTTGATTTTTAATGAGTTGCGCTAAGTATACTTACGAGTATGCAAGTCTCCATGTCAATCTCATTAAAATCAGACCTTTGTCCTCGCTACCGCTAAACAAAGATCTGAAGACATCCCATTAGGGGTCATGTCAGAATGACCTTTCATCCGACCAATCAGAGCGTTGCTTACCAGATCATGAAAGTGACAGTCGGAATGTGATTTCTAATCATACAACCTCGGGAACTTTAGCACGGGGTATTCCAAACGATAGTTTAACGACTGATGCATACAATCTAGACCATCTATTAGCCATTCCAGAACGTTCTTTTGTTTAGGTTTCAAATTTGTAATCGAGAATTTGTCAAAATATGTTTGAAGCGTAGTCGCCAATTTGAAATTAGTGCCGTAAAGCACGAGAAAGCTGCTTTCTGATTGGTCATTCCATTGGTCGGTCAAAGTTCACGCAAGGTCGGTCTGTCGTGACCCGTAATGGGATGTTCTCAGATCTTTGTTTAGCGGTAGCGAGAACTAAGATCTGATTTTAATGAGATTAGTCTCCATGTAAAATAAAACAGCAAAATTAGCAGGGTTAACAGTGCAACCTTACAGTTTCTTTGTTTATTGTGATTTTCTGTGTTTGTTTATTAAAATGTTATCAATTAATGCTGGTGTTGTATTGTTATTTCTGCACGGAGGCCACCGTGTCAACAATGACTCAAGACATGTTTCCTGATTTTGAAGTGAGTGAGTTTAACCCTGCTGTGGACAGTATTTCAGATATCACAGTGTGTCAGCTTAATGTTACCACTTTGGTGAAGGGGCGGTCGGGTAGCCTAGTAGTTAAAGCGTTCGCTCGTCACGCCGAAGACCCGGGTTCAATTCCCGACATGGGTACAATGTGTGAAGCCCATTTCTGGTGTCCCCCGCCGTGATATTGCTGGAATATTGCTAAAAGCGGCGTAAAACCATACTCACTCACTCACTTTGGTGAAACCCACGAGCACGGGTATGGTGCTGACAAACATATAAATATAATCAGGGTGAACCTGATTCGAACGTTTCTGGCATGCTCTGTACAGCAAATATGGAGCATAACTCACCTGGATGAAGATTACTTGACAAACAAATCAAAATTGTTGGAAGGGACACACTTAATTCACATGTCTTAAAACAACTTCACTGGATATTGGTTCCTGACCTGGAGGTTCATGTGATAATTCATTATGGAGTGTGCTTCATACACTGTTATTTTAATTTAAAACCAGGACTAGGATACGGAAATCTTGGGTGGATCTGAAATAAAATATGGCCCATTAAAATGTTTGTTTGTATGTTGTTTAACACCACACTCAGCAATATTCCAGCTATATGACGGCGGTCTGTAAATAATAAAGTCTGGACCAGACAATCCAGTGATTGACATTATGAGCATCGATCCGCGCAATTGGGATACAATGACATGCATCAACCAAGTGAGCGAACCTGACCACCCGATTCCCATTAGTGGCCTCTTACGGCAAGCATGGGTTGCTGAAGACCTGTTCTACCCCGGATCTTCACGGGTCATTCAAATGTTTATCCCAATTCAAGCTCTTTAACATAGCAAAGGCTCACATTTAATTAGTTTTATCAAATCTTTTTAACATGGACCCACTCTGAACTTGACAGTCTACAGCTGATTGCATAGCGATGATAGGATCTATTGGTTGTTGGGTCAAAGATTCACTATGAGCATGGAGAAGTCTTATTATGGTTGATGTATAATTTCTCTATAAGTTTGCATGATGACCTTTTGTTCAGACAGTTTTACTTGATTAAATTGCCAGTGGATTCCTGGCTCAGAAACAACTGCAAGAACAATAGCATGACGTCATCATAATGGTTTATCCATGGTCCATGAACACCAAACCAGTGATGTGAATTTCACATGCAAGGCAGCTGGTGATATTTTGTTTCTAATTCTCTCAACAATATCCCAGCTATATGACAGCGGCCTGTCCAAAGAATTGTCATCCGTCAACTTCTAAGTATAACAATTTATGGATAATTTCTTTATGTTTTACGTTTTGGTATTGATCCTTACACCATTGTCAAGCAATATAAGGATCTATACCGAAATTTCGCATTTCCAGGTAATAAAGAAGTTATCCATAAATTATCGAAAGAGGCGACACAATGGATGTAGAGTCTGGTTGATTGCATGTTTTCATGGCCATACATGTTTGACGTTGCTCATAACATCAGTCTGGACCAGATTATTTACAGGCCATGGTCATAAACCTGGAATATTGCTGATTGCAGCATTAAATAAAACAGTACCATTCCAGTAAAAACCCACAAGGGGTGTCAAAACAATCAAAGTTCTGAGGGTACAGATTTTATTCACAAAAGGATTTAACAATGGAGGACTTGGACAACGTCACAAATACGAAACATCATATGAACAACTCTGTACAAGATACAACATTCAACCAAGATTGCACGCGATTCATCAAAGAGACCACGAGAGAACAACTGTGGTCTCCATGTATAGAAACAGTTCACTGTTACCAAAATATATTGACAGTAATGCCCTAAATCTTTACAAAACGGAATCAAAATCACCAAGGCAACAAATATTTTCAGTTCCCAAACTGAAAAAGCTTGTACATTCTCTTTGAATTATAGTCAGCTTCTGATTGAGTGAGTTTGGATTTATCCCACTTTGGGCAATATCACAGCAGGGGATGGGGGAAACCAGAAATGGACTTCACACATTGTACCAAAGTTTGCTTCGGAAAACTGATCACATTTGAATCAAAGCATGTTTGTCAAATGGAATATGAACTTCAAGTTGGGCACATTGAGAACAAAGATTCAAGCTTCTGAAAGAGCACTAATTTGTGTAAATTCACTATGAAACCCTTATGGTAAATAAAATACCTCTCATTATCTGTCACTTTCCAACGTATTCACAAGGCTGAATCTAACTTTTGTCTGTTAATATTTGTGAGATATATACAAAAATAGGTGGTATTTCCATTGAAATTTTCCTGGACTTTAAAGCTCCTCTGTATGGGATTGAAGGCATTATAAAATGAACACATGTCAAATAAGCACCATAGTATAGATACGTCTTTAAACATACAGATATTAGGAACTGAAATATCAGAAATAGGCCAAGAACATGTTTCACACATCCCATGTAGACTCCAACATTGTGCCCATGGGAACATATTCTACTTGGCATATATCTCACAATGTAGAGGAAAGTATATACAAAGAGTCACATGTAGATTCTCCACTGTGCCCAAGGGCACACTGTTGCCAACTTCAATATATCCCTCTACACTGAACAAGGAGCATTATGGCTTCAACACTGGCATTGTGAGGACACTGTAGACACACAGCATGAGGGATTGGACATAAATGCTCTGGCTGCACATTTTCAGGTTACTTTCATGACTATCAACATAATATATCAAACGATATACAAAATAATTCAATAGTTCCCAAGGGCACATAGATTCTGTTCTGAAAATATTACACATATGTTGATACTGACTGTCACAAATCACAATCAGACTGCAACATAGTATAACTTCAGCTTAAAATGTTTCTAGATATCTTAAGACTTTTTATAAAACTTTGTTTATGAATCTGCTGACTCCCAAAAATTGAAATGGGGGAAAATAATAATTCATACAGCTTTTTTGTTCATTTCACCAACCAATAATAAGGTAAATGTAAACAAATGAAACTCATTAACTCTTGCTATAAATAAAATAAGTTATTTAAAATACTATACTTAAATCCTGTTAAAAATGTATCTCAAAAACTTCAAAACACAACAATTTATGACAAATCCCTATTCCTCTTGAACCCAATCCCCTCCACCTACTTCACATTTTTATAAAATAAAAATAATTTGAAATTGGATTTTTAAAATAACTTTTTTTTACCTACAGACCTAAATTATTTTTAGCCCAAAATACATAAAGCACCCCCCTCAAAAAATAAAAAAATAAAAAACAACAACAAAAACACATACCACTGTTACTTAATATCACTGAACCACGTTCTCCTCAATATAAAATCATCCTATGTCATTAATTTTTTTTAGTAAGCTCTCTCAATATTTGTCATTCATTTTTCAAGCCTTGTTTTGTTCCTGATTTAATTTCGTGCCTGTGAAGTTCACCGGTAACAAGTACCCACACCACAACCTGTGATGATATCACAGAGATGAGGACTGTCCATCACAACAGGTTCCACCTGCAACAGTACCATATACCCTAAATTACACTACTTAACTTTTCATAGGGATAATTCACTGTAACAAATCTCGAGTCACCAGTGAATATATACCATACTTATGTTAAGTTGAAATGAAGCTGAAAATGTGTCAGTTCCAAGTGAATATCAAATACTATTTACATGACAACTTCTCCAAGCAATCAGTCACATTCAGTCCTCACCTGGCAAATGTTGCGTAGTATTAACTGGATCCTGGGAATTGTTAGCGACACAGTTCAAATATATATTGTACAAACAAAGGCATAAAGGACTGGCCCTACAGTTGAATCCTACACAAACATCTCACAAGCATTTCACTGAAACTTAACTTCATCTGATTTTAATCCAGAGGCACTTTTTGTGGAAATGTAATATTCAGATCAAGCAGTGAAACTGTGTGACAGCTAAAATTCATTATCGTTTTCAATGAGAATGAAAATTAATGATAAGTGACAAGGTTAGGGCTGTTGGGCGTGGGAGTGGTGGTCCTTGATCCACTTGACCCAGTGCTTCAGACTGACAGACAATCTCATTCAAATCGCTATCGCTAAACAAAGATCTGAGGACATCCCATTACGGGTCACGTCAGAACGACCTTTCATCCAACCAATAAATGCGCCGCTGACCAGATCATGAAAGTGACAGTCGAAATGTGTTTTCTAATCATGCAACCACAATATATTTAACACGGGGTATTCCGAACGACAGTTACGGGTTTTATTATTATATCCATACAATTTGGGCCATCTATAATCCATTCCAGCATGTTCCTCTTATCAGTTTTAAACTTTTTAATCAAGAATACGTCAAAATATGTTTTGAAGCGAAGTCGCCAGTTTGAAACTAGTGTCGTAAAGCTCGAGGAAAGCTGCCATCAAATTGGCCAAAGTCGATTTCTTGTCAGTCATTTCATTGGTCGGTCAAAATTTGCTAAAGGTCGTTCTGATGTGACCCTAATGGGATGTCCTCAGATCTTTGTTTAGCGGTAGCGAAAACTAAGATCTGATTTTAATGAGATTGGACTGCCACATGCCGTGGTCACTGACCCCTGAAAAGGAAGAACCCTCCATGTTGCAGCATATTACTTACACATGACCCATTACACTTACAGGTGACAGATCACCTGGCGTATTAGGGACCCACTATTTAGAGTTCTGGGGAGTCTGGGAATTTTTGGGGGAGACAGGATCTTTTCAGGTCGCAGCTCTAAAACATGCAATTTATTTCTGTGAAAAGCGCGAACAATTTATTATTAGCACATCCTGAATTTCCAGAGAAAAGTTTATTGATTTTGCTTAAACCTGAGGACAAATAAAACACTTTTTTCCAGGTACAAATTAAGTTAAAAAAAATAATCCCACCACTCCCCTCAAATATCAAACAGTTGGTTGCTAAGTATTTCTTTCAATCAGAATCACCCACTTCACCACCCTCAACAGGATTCATCAGGGTCAAATAGCAGCATTTAAATGTTGAAATTTAAAATGAACATGTGCAACCTATAAAACATAAAGAACTGACCAGTACAAAACAAACTCACACCTTTCCATGTGACCTGTTTTCAAGACAAACAATATGTAATAACAATACCCTTACAATGTCAAACCCTTGACGCACATAGTGAGATTGATAATGTGGAATATGTCATTAATTGTAACACATGTATTATATTGGTGTATATTAACATGCAATCAAATAGGAATGGCTCATTATTATGTTTTATTCTTCTCCAAAGTATACAGCTGAAAAAAAGTTAAGGATCACCCAATTCTTTTATATGGCATGGCATATTAACTATAGTACCGTATCTATACTGTATAATATGCACTTTTAAAGAATAGGGTGGCAGCTAACTCTTTTTCAGAGTGGTATTTTGAAAAGCCATGGCAATCAAGATGTCTTCAACAAGAAGCTAAATACTGACCACAAATATGTAATATCAGTCCTGACAAACATGACAAATTAATTAATCAGGTGACAAACATACATATTTTTGAATTGTGAAGTGCTGTCTTAATTGACCTCGTGGGTTAGCTAGCTGCCATCAAACAATTCATTAAAAACAACTGTTGACCACTTTTGTAAAAGCAACAAACAAGGGAATGGTGCTGACAAACCAAGGATGATAATCAGGATTCATTATGAGTGAGTATGGTTTTACGCCGCTTTTAGCAATATTCCTGCAATATCACGGCTGGGGACACCAGAAACGGGCTTCACACATTGTACCCATGTGGGGAATCGAACCCGTGTCATCAGCGTGACTAGAGATCGCATTAACCACTAGGCTACCCCAAAGCCCCTAGTTCAAATGAACGTATGATTCAATCATGACATGGATAAGGAACATCTTGCTGATGATAAGAACAGCTGTACTGAATATTATTGATGTCAAACTGTACACAACTGCATCAAGTTATCAAGACAGTGAAAGCCTGAATTCAAACAACATTCATATTTTGATGAAGATATTCTTAAAGGGGGCTACCATTAGACAAATTGGCAGTCCCAACTTGTTCACACACAATGTACCAGTTTCAAACAAGGTACAAATAACAAAGTCTGGAGATTCACCAAATATTGGCAACCTATAGTAGAGCATAGTCCTTCTTTAAATACACATTCCACAATACCCCGGTATTCAAAAGTAAGCAAACAAGCAAGGGGTCCTCATTTTATTGAGGTAAGGAAGGCAGCTGACTTAAAAATCCAGTTTCTAGTTATGTCGCTCCTGTGTCCCTCCTATTGACCAATCAGATTCCACCTTGCATTTGCTTCAAACAAAATGGAGTCTCCCAGTCAAGTCGATCTGATCTCTATTGTAATAAAACAGATCTTACTTTGCAAAGTGCATCAAATCACATGAGCATCTTGACAAAAAACAAGAAAAGATTTGGAAAATATCTGTCAACACCCACTTGCCATCCGACTTTGCATAGACTCGTTAGTCCAGCCAAAACATAACTTCCAAAATTCCTGTCTAGTTCGGCCTTGGCGGAAACTGGACTTTTATAATCAGGTAACGCCCTTGCCTCAGGAAGATGGGTGTCCTTGTCATTACCCTCAGTTTAAATGTTAAAGATAAAGGAGGTATTAAGTATTGTTCGTGTGTCTGTCTGTGTATCTTTGTGTACCAGTGTAGCTAGTACTAGTACTGGTCCAGACAAATGCAGGCCTTATAGTGCCAGCCCACATATATACCATGTTGTAGTTTTAACATGGATACCCTACTCAGACACAGTATACTGACTCCGAGGCGACCAGTCCTTGTTTTATCCCCTTAATGCAGAGTGTCAGACAACAAATCCCATCTAAAACATGGCCAGGAATCAAGCCACCAATCTTTCGCTCTCCAGGCAGATGCTCTATCATCAATGCCATGGAGGCTGTCCTTAACTTACAACACTGTTCAATAAATACAAACTTGGTACAGTTACAAGTGAGAACTCTAACAAAAGGATAATTACTTTTAGTGTCAGAAATATCGCACACACATCAATTTTGAAATGGACGGATTACAGCAATGTGCTCTTTTTCCAATGTTCATTAATTTACAGTGATCTGATCTTATCCAATCAACAGATCAAATGAAAATGTGTTGAAAATACAAATAATTTTCCAAATAATTATTTGGCTGACATCTTGACAAATAAAGGTAGCCACAAACAAACCACATTCGACACACAAACTCTCAGTAACCATGGAAACACTTAACATAGAAATTAAAACAAATAGCTGGGGTAACAAGGAAAACAAGAACAAATGTCAAAACAGACGTATATCATATCACACTTAAACATAAATAAGTATAAATTGTACAACTATTTGGCAATATAACGTAGTTGTCTCCATAGCAACTGTTGCCGTGGAAACCATATTTACACACAAATATATTATCAGGAGATAGAATGTTTAGGACTTCATTCATGTTTCTTGCTTAACTGCAGGCATGAGGCCAAAAGCTCTGACAAACTCTCTGTGACGGCCGTCCTCAGTGTTAATGTAATCCTCACAACACATCCACAGTCACAATACCTTGGAAGCTATTAAATGCATCCTGCAGTGCTCGTTTAGGTGTGTACGAAGACCTTGTTGCCTCATTTGGTAGCATGTTTGTTTGGGAGCGCTCAATGCCATTTTCATGTTGTTCATGTTGAAGGCACAGCATTTGCAGTCTCCCAGAATACTCACAACCACAATGCAACACAATCCTTGAAGGGTCCTTTCATTTCATACAGGGGACTGTCCATAACATATGGGTGACTGTTCATTATAAATGGGGGAAAGTGATGATGTTAAGGTTAAGGCCACACATTTTTTATTTTTCGTTTCATAGGCCCATCGCCCCTACTGAAAAGCAGCTGGAGAAGAAATAAATTAAACAAAACAATATTTATTTTCATTATGTCTCTGCTAGTAATATAGACCCTCATATACAATATAAAATGTTAATAGACATTCCATGTCCCCATCACTATCAGTGATTCAAGAAGCCAGCTGCAGTTTTAACTCGACAGCAGAATGACTTTCATATAAATAAATAAATGATTGACATAGCTATATATTTTCATTTTTATTCCGACAAACCTTTAGTTGAAAAGCTGAATAAATCAGTGAAACATAAAATGAAAAAAGTGTGGCCAAACCAGGCTATTTTTGTTTCCTTGTTGAAGAGATTTGGGAATTTCGTCATGCGTCACTTGGCTTCGGATTAAGATAGGGGGTTGCTTGTTTTTTTTATAGATTCTAAATTGATACAGTTGCTTTAACTTTTTCTGAAGGGGGAAATTATTTTGTCACAGGATTTTGTCATCATCCTGTACCCACATGAACGAACAGTCCCGAGGTTGAATCCAGATCCCGATCAGTTACTCTAGCACAGCACAAACTGGATAAACCACAATGCTAATCAGTTAATCAAGCACAATGTCATTGTTAATCCAGTGCACTATGTAGAAGGGAATACGCATGAGGTGTTAATCAAGCATCATTAACTCTTCCTCACTCAACTCATTTTCAATGGGCTGGGAGCCTTTAGAGGCATCAGTGGTGTGGACACCTCCTGTTGGGAGGAATAGGTTTGAGAACACATTGACATCAATGTTAAATGATGGACCTTCCATCATGTTTTCCTGGGTCACATCAGATGTGCCTTCCGGATGCACTGATTGTGATTCTGTGTACCGACTTAGCTCTCTCATTTGCTCGATCACGGTTTGCGGCTGTTTAAGATGGTCCAGTGAACAAAGGTCGCGGCGTAAAATGTCTGCCTCACTTTTCTCACTTAACTGATATGTCTTGGCAATGTCTTCATCGTGTTCGGCCTCTTGGCGCCAGAACGGTTCCGCAAGACACTTCTTTGAACTTTTCTGTCCAGTTGGCAACTTCACAAACAAACAATCAATCAACGCACACTCTGGACGCAGCTCTGTGTCTGAATCACATGAGGAATATTTTTGATCTTTGGAGGAGCAGTCTGACGACTCTTTGAGCGAGCTTCCTGCTTCTTCCGAGCTTCGTTGGTCACTCGGTGTTATGTCACTTGTATCCTTGTAGTTGTTGGAGACATTGGAGTCATTTTCCCCCATTTTCTTTGAATCGTTTTTATCTTCATCACTTGATGTGCTGTCTTTGTACTCTTGTGGAGAAACAGACACAATCATCTCGTCATTGCACTCTTCTCGCCACTGGCGATACACCTCCTCGATGTCGGGACTATTTTCCTCCTTGCTTTCTGTCAGCGTAGATCGGCGCTCACCTTTGGAGTTGTCAAGCTGCAGCCCGAGAAGTTGGTCCGCATGGTCGGTGCAACACAAGCTTGACTCGCTATTCACGGACGCGTTGTCATCCACCGTTTCATTCTCGAACAGCAGGAACCCAGCCTCTTCATCCTGTTGAGAAATAGAATAAGTTTCAAGTTCATACAATAAACGATCAACTTAGATTTTGCCCTGGGGATTCCAGGAACTAGGTTCCATGTACTCCCATGGTTGTCAAGGAATAGTGAGTGAGTGAGTATGGCTTTACGCCACTTTTAGCAATATTCCAGCAATATCACGGCAGGGGACACCAGAAAAAAAGCTTCACATATTGTTACCCATGTGGGAAACTGAACACGAACCTTCGGCACGAAGAGCAAATGCTTTAACCACAAGGCTACCCCGCCGCCCATTTTTGGCCAAGCTTATGTACAGAGTAACCACTTAACAGAGAAATAAGGATTATAAGGAGTGAATGACTGTTCTAGACACCTCTGCTATGGCTTAGGATAAATACCATTCATCCCCGTGGAGGATATTCTGTAACTCGTGATGATCCTTTTAGGTATACGTTTGATTTTCATGCCTCTCCAATCAAAATCACATTTTCTATCCCAAACCTCTTTTCTGTCTCTCCTAATGCTTATTCTCATGCCATAGACTCAGGACCTACTCACTCGAGACAAAACAAAAGTTATGTCTCCTTGTTTCTCACTTAATTTTTGTGATCGTTATGTCTGAGAACATTTTGCTTGAGAATGTTCTTGTTGAGAACATTCTGCGAATATTCTATTGATGAAATTCTGCCTGAGAGTGCTCAAGCTGGGAGTGAGTGAGTGAGTGAGTATGGTTTTACGCCGCTTTAAGCAATATTCCAGCAATATCACGGCAGGGGACACCAGAAATGGGCTTCACACATTGTACCCATGTCGGGAATCGAACCCGGGTCTTCGGCGTGACGAGCGAACGCTTTAACCACTAGGCTACCCGACCGCCCCTGCTCAAGCTGGGAGTGTTCTAAGAATGTGAGAATGTTTCAGCTGACTCACCATGACTCTCTCATTCTTGGCAATGAAGGTGAGGAGTTCTTCCAGCTGTTCAGTCACAGTATTGTTGCCCTTGTCCAGCTTCTTCATGGCTTCCCGATCTGCCTTCAGAACATTTTTCAGGATGCGCTGAGGAAGTTGATACCTCATCTTGACATCATTCGTCCACTTGCTCTTGGCTAACCAGAAAGGCTGGCAGTACCTCTTGGAGGCCTTCACTACTCGATGAGGGATCTCGCGCTTGACCTCAGAAGTAGGATCCTGAAATGAAGCAAATGTTGGAGTGAGTGAGTGAGTTGGGTAGGATGCAGCTCTGAACAGTATTGCAGTTTTATCATCCCAAACTGGCTTCTACAGGAGATATCATTCAAATACAATTGCAGAGCATTATGACCTCATCAGTTACCATGACATCACAATCAAATTTCTCTGCCCTGGGAGCTGGTGAGCAGTGTATTTTAGACTTATGACAATCATAACAAGCGTATAGCCGACGCTATATCCCCCGCCCATTTTCCCATGTTCTGGTCCCAAACCAGGTAACTGACAAAACATTTCTCTAAGCCCATGTCAAGCAGTGGAAATTCTAAAATAAAAATGTCTAAAAGTGCTAATATCAAAAGTCAGTTCAGTATGTCTGTGCCTGGTAAATGCAGAGTTTTGTAAGAAAGTATTGAATGGGTTTTGAGTTATGCTTCAGAAACGGAAACTTACCCTATAGAACCTAAATCACGTAAAAAATAAAAATGTCTAAAATTCATAAATAGCAAAAGGCACTGGATCAGCACGAGTCTGATAGACATGCAAAGTTTCATAGAGAAATATTTAACGGTTTCTGAGTTATGCTCCGGAAACAATTTTAGGACGCACGTACACACGGACGGAACACATTTCAATATCCCCCACCAACTTCGCTGGGGTGGGGGATTTATCGACTTGTATTGATATTTTTTATGTCAAAAGACACTCAGGTGTCATTCTCCAAAAATTACAGCTTTGTGGGAGGAGTACCCAAAGTGATAAACCTGAAATAACAAAGTCAATGTACAGATATGTGCCACACCAGGGATTTATCTGGACCTGCCCAGAGTCCAAAATTTGGCCCAAAGTCTGCAGCAAATGTCTAGAAATCCCAAATTGTAATAAAAATCATTTCCAATTCATGTAAAAAAAACCCAGTCAAGTCTTGTTAATCCAACACTCGTCACTCTGACAGTCGTCTTTATCCAACACTAATAATTGGAACCGATTAAATCATTGCTATTTAGACCCGTTAATCCGACAGTCTCGCACTCCAATTCCAACACCCCTGATTTGCAACAAGTTACCGAAATCACTGATTATTCAGTCTCGTTAATCCGACATCTGCCCACGAGTCCACAGGGCGGTGTTTTGCTGCGAGACGAGCATGCTTAGATTACCTCAATCATATTAAAATCAAATGTAAGTTCTTGCTACCGCTGAGTATATCAGAATTACCTTTCGTGAACTTTGACCGACAAATGAAATGACTAACAGGAAGTCGACATAAGTCTGCGGCACTTATCATGCTGACAATACATTGGTAAGATACCTTTGAACTTAGGAAAAAAGAAATATCTAATATTGAGCAAAATAATGAATTTTTTCCCCAACTTGTCTGCCAAGGGCACTTAGTTTGGAATCCAAAGTACATCCCTGCACATATAGATACAGGTGAAGCAGCCAGTACCTCTCGGGAGCTGTTGTTGACGCTGCTCGATGCTTCAAGGATGTACATGAGAGAGGAATCTGTGTCATTGCCGGTGCTGGAGTCCAGACGACTTGACTCTATGCGACTCGACGAATCGTTACGTGTTGCTTCAGCTTCTCCCTGCAAAACAGACAATTCGTTTGAACATACGAAACAACATTAAACCGTTTGCTTTGAACACGATGAAGAAATGGTATTATAAGGGTAATGCTATTTTTCAGGGCATTATCATTTGCAGAAGCCCGAGGTCTTCCATTAACTGCTCGACGAAGGATGGTAGTTGAAAAGACAGTAAATCAAATAAAAAGAAACAACAATATCGGTTTTGAAACATTTACTGCAATCAACACGAATGTCACTGACCCACTTTTACAAATATGGAAACGTCATAGAACAAACCAGATGACGTCACTATTGAACGTGACGTCACCTATCCCTATCCCGCCTAACAACAGGCGTGATAATGGCCCGTCGTCAAGCACTATGAGGGCATTTTCAAGTCACAGTGGCCCGCTCATTTCTTATAACATGCGGGCGGTTTAATAATTCTATCCATTTTAGCTATAATAGACATTAAGGGGGTTCTTGGCACCAGACAGTTTGCTGTTATAGTGACTGAAGTAACTTTTGGTCCCACTGAACCAGGGGGGCTTGTGACTCATGAATATAACTTGCCTTTATTGAAAGTCGCAGGTCTGCATTTGTGCCTTGTTCCTTTAGTTGAAGTGATATCTAGTATGAGTGAGTGAGTGAATATGGTTTTACGTTACTTTTAGCAATATTCCAGCAATATCATGGCCAGGGACACCAGAAATGGGCTTTTCACATTGTACCCATTGTGGGAAATTGAACTTGGGTCTTTGGGGTGACGAGTGAACACTTTAACCACTACAGGCTAAGCCACCACCCCATATCTATGCAGATGTCTGACATTTACTACTTTGGTGAAGCCAATGAGCATGGGTATGGTGCTGACAAACCTTGAAATATAATCAGGGTGAACTGGGATTCGAAACCCACAATCACAGGTTTCTGGCGTGTCCAAGGGACACAACTCTACACAGCAAATTATGGTGCCTTAGACGACTTGGTCACCCATGGCCCCAGTATAAAATGAGAATGGGTGAGTAAATGAACATCATAAGACGTCATAATGAATAAATATTCCAGCTATTTCATGATGGCCTGTACGAGTCTGAAACAGGCAAATCTGTGATTGAAAGCGAGGAATAACAATCCACACCATCAGGCTATGATCACCAGGGCCAAAATCAAGCTACAACCACCCCCACCACCAGTGTTTGAAATAAGCACCTGCCCGTAGGACCGCGAATGGTAGATTTCATGTCGGGGCCCGTAGGACCGTGAATGGTAGATTTCGTGTCGGGCCCGTAGGACCGTGAATGGTAGATTTCGTGAATGGTAGATTTCATGTCGGGCCCGTAGTTTCAAAGGTGTATGGGTCCTTATGGCCTGCAGTAAATTTAAATTGTGTATTTATTTGTCGCAATAAGCTGCAGTTTGTTAAATGGGGGCCGAAAGATTATAGCCAGGACCTGCCACGCATGCACACGCACGCACGCACGCAGCTTCAGGCGACATTTAATCCTTGACTCAACACAGGACCTCATGAAATGGAGGGTTACCATGGGAAACTGTGGGTGCAGCTGTGCTCCTGTCTTCATGGGCGTGGAAGTAGATGTGGGTATTGGCTGAGTAGACTGGCGCTGTGTCTCCGACATCTCCACGTTCATCCTCGGCATCGGAAACGGCTGGAACATCCCTGTGAGGGTCTGGTAGAAGCCCCCCATGACTTGGGGCACAAATGACACACCTGAAAGAGTTCAATGAACAAACATTTATAAAACCAATATTACATCTGCAATATCCACGTGTTTCCCCTCAATGCAACAACTTGAGTGGTGCATCAAATATTTGAAGAATGATTACACCCCTACCAATACAGAACTTGGATGTACATTTGCTATTTTTCAGGGCATTATCATTTGCAGAAACCCTCGGCCTTCAATTAGCTGCCCGACGAAGGAGGGCAGTTGAAAAGACAGGGCTTCTGCAAATGATAATGCCTTGAACGTTATTACTGCATTACCGTTATTATAGCTAAAATGGATGGAATTTGTTATCAAATAAAATGAAACTACAATATCGGTTTAGAAACATTTACTGCAATCAACATGAACGTCACTGACCCACTTTTACAAACATAGAAACATCATAGAACAAACCAGATGACGTCAGTATTGAACGTGACTTCACCTATCCCTATTCTAATATTTCTATGACGTCACCTAACAACGGGCTTGATAGTGGCCAGTCGTCAAGCAATATGAGGGCATTATCAAGTTACAGTGGCCTGCTCATTTTTGATTACATGAGGGCGCTTAAATAATAATTCTATCCATTTTAGCTATAATTGCCAATATACCGTTTTCAGGGGGAACGTGAGAAACTAAAACATTTCAATAATAGTTTCAAGGTGATTATATGTTTCTGTAACAAATATGTAGCAGCACACACAAGAACTGTCATAAAAAGTTTTGGTCTCAGTAGCGGCTGCTTGAAAACAATGTAAAGGTTATATTCAGCATGTACAGATTGGTCAAGAAGATGGTCAGGATTGATCATTGAAGTAGGGCGCTTACTGTGGCAAATACAGTAATAGTGCCTGTATCACAACTAATTAATAAGGAAAAGAAACCTTTCGTTTTTTTGCAGAATGAACTGTAACCACATATTTAACTAACTGAGAGATGTACTGAAGCTGTTCTCTACCTGTCTGCTGGAAGTAGGGCGCTTACTGTGGCAAATACAGTAATAGTGCCTGTAACACAACTAATTAATAAGGAAAAGAAACCTTTCTTTTTTTGCAGCATGAACTGTAACCACACATTTAACTAACTGAGAGATGTACTGAAGCTGTTCTCTACCTGTCTGCTGGAAGTAGGGCCACTGCATGCCCTGTGCTGACCGGGGGGGCTCCATGGGAGCTGTGTTTTGGTACATCGGCATGACGGGCGTGGCCAGCCCTGTGTTAGGATCCACCTGCATCATAGGAATCTGCTGCATGTACATGGGGATGTTCTGTTGTATCCCAGGGAGGCCCATCGACAAGAACTCTGGAGGAGGGTTTTGTGTGAAGATCGGGTGCGACTGAGTTGGCGCCAGACTCGTGGGGATCATGTTCCCAGTGGATAGCGGCAACATGGGGAAGCTGAACGGCGATGGGAACACGTCTCCTGATGTTACTGGGGTATCAACAGGCTTTCCACGGTCCAATTTTGAGATCTTCGTTTGAGATGGCTCGTTTCCTAGTGACGCCGAGCCCGAGAGAGATCGCTTCTTGTCTCGCACTTCCTCTTTCTCCTGCTTGCCTAGGAAGAGGATGTTGTCGTCATGCTCGGCTTGTTGCAAGAGAAGCTTTTCCTGAAGCTTGGTGTGTTTCTTGAGCACTTCCTGAGTGAGTTCCACCTGGGGGTACTGTGGGATCGGCCCGAGGATCATGTTGGGGACCCTCCATGGTATGGTGGGGTCCTCAACGGCCTCCGGCTGGGGAGGACTAGGAATGGTGTCCTCACGATGCTCAGAGACATGCACCTGCAAACAGACAATAAGTTACTCTATGATTTTCTTTCTTTCTTGTATAAAACCGCACTCAGCAATAATCCAACTGCGGATTGTAAATAATCAAATCTGGATCAACAGTCATTATTAGCAATGCCCCACACTGTTACAGCATGGTGTTAACTAGTGACTAATATTATCAGCAATTTGTTTGTCTTTTGCAACACTCAGCAATATTCCAGCCATAAGACATAAGACAGCGGCCTGTAAAAAAATAAGCCTGCACAAAACGATCCTGTGATTGATATTGTGAGCAACAATCCACGCTGTCAAGGTAAATGACATGCAATGAACCTCGTCATCAGGCATGACTACTGGATCCACTTGTTCGCCTCTCATGGCCAGCATAGGTTACTGGGGACCTACCGTATTCGACATAATAAGCGCCCAGGGCGCTCTCAAAATTAGAAATAGGGGGCTCTTATTAGAATATTGTTTTGGTGAAAAAAAACAGAGTTGAAAGATCATACATTTCGTGGTTTATGTTGACAGCCTGAAATGTTTATATACGACAGATATAATTTTTCCAGAATTTAATGTCCCATAATTAAGGGTGCATATAACACACGTATTACATTAATCAATTGTGATACATTGATCAATCGAAAGGGGTGCTAATTGGGATTGTTCACTAGCCAATTGTTTAGCAAATATCGCCGTGGGCGCTTATTAGAGCGGAGCGCTAATTACGTCGAATACGGTATTCTGACCAAGAATTCCAAAGGGGAAGTTAATCAGCTTTAGATCAGCTTCTATGGGAGGAATTATGGTACATGAAGAGACACGACCAATGTATACCCAAGGTAACAATGATCTACTTACAATTGTACTGCTGCCATAACTTGGAGGTTTGGTGAACTTAATGTTGACTGGGAAATCTGGAGGTTCGATGTCTGAAGAAAAACAAAACAATACATGTATTGAAGGTTCAAACTGTGACCAATACTCTGGCTGCAGGGTTTGACAAACACAGGTGAAGGTGAGGTGAAATGGGGTTTAATGTTGCGTCCAAGATTATTGCACTTATATAGCGTGCATGTACGTGTGTGTGTGTGTGTGTCTATTTGTACTAGTCCGGACAGATGCCGATTTATAGTGCTAGCTCACTGAGATACCATGCCGCAGTTTAACATGAATACCCCACTCAGACAGAGTATACGGACACTATGCCGACCAGTAATTGTTTTAGCCCCTTAATGCCGAGCGCCAGACAGGGTAACAACAAGTACCATCTTTTAACGTCTTTTGGTATGACGCGGCCGACAAACACAGTCGTCCATGCTCCAAATGTCAGTCAGCAAGATCGAGGGTTACTCAAATAAGAATGGAAGTGGTCTGATTGGCCTGTAAACCTGTGGAAGTCCTTCTATTATGTGTTTTTTTGGTCACTTTGTGACTTGGATTGTGATTTGATTTGATTTGTTTTGATTTGTTTGTTGTTTAACGCCGCACTCAGCTTTGCTCCAACTATATGATGGTGGTCTGTATAAATAATCGAGTCTGGACCAGACAATCAAGTGATTGCTATCATGAGCATCGATCCACGCAATTGGGATACAATGACATGCATCATCCAAGGCAGCAAGCCTGACCACGCTATCCCGTTAGTTGCCTCTTACAACAAACATAGTCGCTTCTTATGACAAGCATGGGTTACTGAAGACCTTATCTTACATCCACACTGACTTGTCCCCCCCCCTCCCCCCTCCCACCAACACACATACATACACACCCACACACACACCCCACACACACACACAATAGTCAATAGTCTTAGAGCCCTACAAACCAAATGTCAATAGTCTTAGAGCCCTTCCACCCAAGCGTCAATAGTCTTCGAGCCCTTCCACCCAGTCATCAATAGTCTTTCAGCCATTCCACCCAATCTTCAGAAGTCACCTCTTATGACAAGCATGTGGCGCATGGTGACCTCTGTAAAAAATCCTAAAATTAGGGATCCTAAAAATCAGAACCTACCCTCAATAATTGGGGCCATGCATCCTTCGCTGACTTGGGGGATGGCCTCAGATTTGGGGAAGACGTGTGGGAGTCCTTCTGCAGGGGTGAACAGGTTCCCTGGAAAGCGCTGACTCATCAGATACCTGCAAGGGCAATATTCCATTAGCTCCCTGTGTTTCAGAATACTAAGGCATACAGAGAGTTTCTGCACTACAAGATTATTTCTTTGATAAAGCAATGTAGTACAAAGAGCAGTGTCATTATTCAAAGAAACCTAAGAAAAACAATGCTATGTTTCTGTTTTACATTGCACTCAGCAACTCAGTCTGAACCAGACAAACCAGTGATCGATATCATGAACAACAATCTATGTCACTTGGGTGAGTTAACATGCAATGAACAAATCACCAGGCATGACTCCTGATCCATTTAGTTGCCTATTACTACCAGCATAGGTTGTTGGGGACCTGGTCTAACCCGGAATCACCACAGGGACAAAAACTATACGAGAGAATGAAGTCTACCTCTTGATGTTATGAGAGTAGTTGAGCTGGTTATAGAAGACAGTTGTATCCTCCTCGGATTCTTCTGACTTCACCACTTCCTTGGCTTCCTGAAACACAACAGCCATATATTGAACATGTACAGTGTTTGTTTTTTTTGTTTGTTTGTTGTTTAACGCTACACTCAGCAATATTCCAGCTATAAAACAGTGGTCTGTCATAATCGAGTCTGGACCAGACAATCCAGTTATTGACATCATAGCATCAACCCAAGCAATGTGGGATACGATGACAAGCATCAACCAAGTCAGTGAGGCTGACCACCCCATCCCCTTAGGGTTTGGATGAAAGCAAGACCCTCAAAGTATTTCACAGTAAGAATTGTAAATTTTACAACAAATTGTATGCAGTGAGATGTAGAATGGGCAAAAATCACAGAAAAGAAACTAAATTGGAATCCCTAGTGTTGACAAACATGTCACCACAGTGTGGCAATTTGAAAGAGTGAGTGAGTATGGTTTAACGCCGCTTTTAGCAATATTCCAGCAATATCATGGACAAGAGCACTAACATCAAATATTCCTAAGTTCATCATATTTCCATGGAAACGACAAAAATATAAAATTCTAAAAATCTCCAAATAGCAAAAGGCACTTCTACTGAGCCTGATTGTTAAGTGTACCAAGTTTTTGGAAGCTAGGTTGTACGGTTTAGGAAATATGCTCGAGACAAACAATGATTACAGACGGACAGACGGACGGACAGACGGACATACTGATGGCTATATCCCCCCGTCATTATATAAAAATGGAAGAGTAAAAACATAACTGATCTTTTTCAAAATGGCTGCCATGTTGGCCATATTAAAAATCAGAATTGAGCATTTGGGGTGTCATCATTGGTGGGCAAAATGTGTTACTGAAGGGGGTGAAGAGACTTACCCTGCTCTTTATAACCTCTTTGTCTGGCACCAAGAAAGTATTGTCTTGGACTGAAAATGAAGAGAAATTGTTAGTCTTGCCAACGTCATGTGTTCAATCGTCTTAATCTTCAAAACGTTTTGGTAAATCAGCAATCTCAGCCACTCAAACAACACCAACTATCTACTAACTTCTTATACTAAGTCCAGTGCTACACTTAGTCCACAGTTTTCACACAAACTTCACAGTGCTTTGGCTATAAAACTGTTCACATAACTAGTACTTTGTCCACTGAGCTTACACATCGTCCAGTACAACTACTAGTCAACTGTGCTTACACATAGTCCAGTACAACTACTAGTCAACTGTGCTTACACATCGTCCAGTACAACTACTAGTCAACTGTGCTTACACATAGTCCAGTACAACTACTAGTCAACTGTGCTTACACATAGTCCAGTACAAGTACTAGTCAACTGTGCTTACACATAGTCCAGTACAACTACTAGTCAACTGTGCTTACACATAGTCCAGTACAACTACTAGTCAACTGTGCTTACACATAGTCCAGTACAAGTACTAGTCAACTGTGCTTACACATAGTCCAGTACAACTACTAGTCCACTGAGCTTACACATAGTCCAGTACAACTACTAGTCAACTGTGCTTACACATAGTCCAGTACAACTACTAGTCAACTGTGCTTACACATCCTCCAGTACAACTACTAGTCAACTGTGCTTACACATAGTCCAGTACAAGTACTAGTCAACTGAGCTTACACAGTCCAGTACAACTACTAGTCAACTGTGCTTACACATAGTCCAGTACAAGTACTAGTCAACTGTGCTTACACATAGTCCAGTACAACTACTAGTCAACTGTGCTTACACATAGTCCAGTACAAGTACTAGTCAACTGTGCTTACACATAGTCCAGTACAAGTACTAGTCAACTGAGCTTACACATAGTCCAGTACAAGTACTAGTCAACTGAGCTTACACATAGTCCAGTACAACTACTAGTCCACTGAGCTTACACACAGTCCAGTACAACAACTAGTCAACTGTGCTTACACATAGTCCAGTACAAGTACTAGTCAACTGTGCTTACACATAGTCCAGTACAACTACTAGTCAACTGTGCTTACACATAGTCCAGTACAACTACTAGTCAACTGTGCTTACACATAGTCCACTGTGCCTACACTTAGTCCACTATGCAAGTTCTCAGTGCTAACACTTGGTCTACTATGATCCCATGTCCGTGTTTGTCAAAGATGCTGTATAATTCGTCAAACCATTCTTGATCAACACAGACTTATAAGGGCTTACCTAAGGTCGTGATTTGGGGTTCGATCTTGATTTCCAGCGGTTCAGTGGGTGGGTTCTGAAAAAGAAGCAATGAATTGTTCAATAGGCGTTATTTACATACTTTGTTTACAGATCATCCAAAACGTTTCTAATTATTAGGTTAGTGAGTTGAACAAAACATAAAAATGACACATTGCTGCAGACACCAATGTAGCTATTATACCAAAACAACCTTTCCAGAATGAGGCCCCACCTCAAAGTGAGTGAGTTAATATTTAACGTCACATCGGCAATATTTCAGATCGCCAGCAGCTGAAGGTAGATCTCCATGCTAGGGTCCATGGGGACTTACAGTACCTTTGCTACCTGCATGCACCCCAGCCGGATTTACATCATCCCTTCAGGTGTTGGCAATTATTTTAAAATTTAGCCAAAGAATACATTTACATATTCTACAAATAAAAATATGGCAGAAAAATATTTACTAAAAGTAATATTTACAATTTGTGTGTCTGTGTGTGCGTGAGTGTGTCTGTGTGTGCGTGAGTGTGTCTGTGTGTGCGTGAGTGTCTGTGTGTGCGTGAGTGTGTCTGTGTGTGCGTGAGTGTGTCTGTGTGTGCGTGAGTGTGTCTGTGTGACTTTGGGGCTATCAAAAGACTGCAATAAATCTACCATTGGTAGGAAAAGATATAATTCCAGGACAAAGAAGAAAGTGGAAGGAAGTCATTTTGCCATCAGGAGTGTCAAGTTCTGGTGGCATAGCTTCTTGCTTTCGATAAGGAGTGAATGTGAGTGAGTATGGTTTCATGCCACTTTTAGCAAAATTCCAGCAATATCACAGCGTGGGACACCAAAAATGGGCTTTACACATTGTATCGATTTTGGGAATCGAACCCGGGCCTTTGGTGTGACGGCTGACGCTTTAACCACTAGGCTACCCTTCGATCAGGAGTGATCATTACTTGAATGGATCATGAACGTACAGCATCATTTGAATGGCTTACAGCATTGTGTCCTTCGAACCAAACGCAAAACAAAGCATCGGTGGCTATTGGGCCCGGGTATCATAAGACAAACATCTACCTGGATAGTTGAGGATGTTTCAGTGTTGAAGGAAACCAGTAAAAATACAAACCTTTGTCTGTAGAAGGTTACGGATCATCTGCTGGTATTTGTGAGCTTCAGAGAGTTGGTCAGAGGACTGTCGTCGATTTGTGTAGTTTTCCTCAAACACATCAATAGCAGCAGGGGCACTGGAAAGAAAAATAAATGTTGATCATTCAAACAATCCAGTCAGTTCCAGCGTCAATCATCTAAACAATCCAGTCTGCTCCAAAGGTCAATCATTCAAACATTCTTGTCTGCTCCAAAGGTCAATCAATAAATTAATCAAGTCCACTACAAAGGTCGAAACATTCAAATTATCGAATCTGGTCCAAATCATTCAAACAATCAAGTCTGTTGCAAACATCAATCATTCAAATAATAGAGTCTGGTCCAAACAAATGTTGATCATTCAAATAATCAAGTCTGGACCTGACAAACATCTTTCATTCAAATTTGAACCCCCTCAAATGTTCATCTTTTAAATAATAGAGTTTCAGACATACAAACATTCATCATTCAAATCATTGGGTTCATCATTCACAGAAGTAGGTTTACGACAGACTCTCTTGGAGAAACCCGATCTCCCCTCTCACCTGATTACAGTGTGCTGTCCCATGATAAACTCAAGCTTCTTGGTCCAAGGGTCCACAAAGCTGGACCACTGAGTCTGTACCTCGATCCACTCTCCATTCCGAGCCTTCAGTCTCATTCTGCTCTCTTTGATTGGCTTGCCTTTAGACTCTAAGACTAAACAGATTAACAAAAGTGATACATTCAAAACCTTCCCACACGATGTCAACATATCACAGTGGAAGGAGCATGTCTCGAGGGATGGGAATACCTACCCAATAACTCTTCACAGGTAATTCCCATACACAATCACAGATAATTATCATGTAAATTAGTTCCTATTTTATAGAGATAATAAAAAATCCATTCTTGCTTATCAATCTGATAGTGACTTAACCATATCATTATCAAGTTAATGTTTTTGAATGTATAAACTACGACTGCATCTCATTGTAACATATAAACGTGGGGACAACTTGTCAGATGGTCCATCTTGGGCGATACTTGATATTTTAGGGCAACTGTCCCCCATTTTGCTATAAAGTATTCCCGGTTTCAGCAGAAAAATTGATAACACATAATATCAATTCCTGAGAGAGGGAGAAAAGACATTTCAAACGAAACGTGTAACTTATTGGTAAATTCATGGTAACTAGACTGTTTGGAAAAAAAATCTATCACAGCCACTTGGTAACGTGAAATATCGAATCTCAACAAAATAAAAGAGCCAACAGGGTATAACGAAATAGGTATTCCCTACCCGCTGTCTCCTACCCGTGACAGATCAGAATGAGAAATAAATAACACCAATCGTACAAGCCCAAAATAACGTAAGCTGTAGACGTTTTACACTTTGGTGTGTGCTTATCGACTCATGGCCATAGTCGAGTGAGTGAGTGAGTGAGTGAGTGAGTGAGTGAAATGGGCTTCACATATTGTACCCATGTCGGGAATCGAACCCGGGTCTTCAGCGTGACGAGCCAACGCTTTAACCACTAGGCTACCCGACCTCCCCCATAGTCAAGAAACTACTATGGGATGACAAGTGTGCAATAGGGAGTGTCTGGTACTGGTTACATGGCCCAAATGAGGCAGATCGTAGACATTTAACACTTTGGTTCAACTAACGAGAATAGGTGTGGTTCTGATTGACCAACAGTCATTGTCTAGAAACAATGAGAGGCAGACCCTGGAAGTAAAGGGAGATAACTCTGCAATGAGCAAACCAAATCTTAGTTTATATCATACGCTACATGAAACCGAGTTTTTGTTCTTACTGACAGATTAGTGATGGACGTTTTAGAACACTTTGGATGTTCTCAATAGGAAACTTACCAAGTTCTTATATTTAACTACAAGCACACCGCAATGCAAGATTTATTTGTGTTAAACATGATTTTCCACTATCTTTATCCTGGTGTCTGTTCTACAGCTATATCTTTGTGCTCTGCATTAATAGTGTCTTGTTAAACTATAACATTGTGTAACACTATAGATATGTTGTTACCTTGTTGGTGGATCTGGTACAGGACCGGCAAGTCATCTGGGTGGTAGACTTCAAAGATTGACAGCCCAATGATGTCTTGTGGCAGATACCCAAGCAATGGAATAGCACTGTAATATACAGAGAGATGGTTAGATTTGAATACATTACAGAACAACCCAGAGAATAATGGAGGGCTATCACTGGCGAGGAATAGATAACCTGTAATTCGAGTATGTTATTCAATATAATAATCGTCTTATTACGTAAGAGAAAAAAGTATGTGATGTCAATCCCAATGAGGAACCTAACTGGAGGCAGCCTATTGTTCATGTATGTAAATATATTCTTAAAGCCGTCTGCAAACTTATTTCACCTATACAGTGATGTGTATGCATGGGTGTGTGGTTGCTTGTACTAGTCCGGACATATGCCGGTTTTATAGTGCTAGCCCATTGAGATACCATGCCAGTTTAACATGGATCACCAACATTCAACTGACACTGACATATTATCCATTTAGTGCTGAACACCATGTGCCATCTTTCAAAGTCTTTTGGGAGGACACAGCCAAGGAATCAACCAAATGACCTTCCACTTTGCAGGTGGACGCTCTATCCACTAGACCACACATGTGATTATGAGCATTGAAGTATCATCTCCCAGAGGCAAGGGAGTTAACTGACCATAAAAGTCCAGTTTCCATCCTTGCCAAACAAGGCTGGAATTTCTGGGCTTGAGCATAGTGCCACTACTGGCTGTAACGAGTTTTGTCCCTTTTATATCTCTCCTAGTGACCAATCAGATTCCAACTCTCTTTTCACTTGCATTTGCTTCAAACAAAATGGCAGCACTAGACAAGAAGATCTCCCTGATATTCAGGATCTGTATTGTAACAAAACGGGTCTTACTACGTGAAGTGCATCAAATCATGTGTGCACCTTGATTATAAAAGGGATTTGGAAAATATCTGTTGATGCCGAATTGGCGGTCCACAATGCTTTACAATTCATGCATTGACCGAACTGCACGGTAGTCGACAAACCAGATGTCGATTTCATTATATGATTTTGATTGGACTATGCATGGACTTGCTAGTTCAGCCAAAATAAAACTCCACAATTCCAGGCTAGTTTAGTAAGGGTGGAAACTGGACTTTTGCAGTCAGTTAACTCCCTTGCCTCAGGAAGATGGTAGTATAGAATCTGTGCGGGTAACAATTCAGCTGAAATGAAGTGTACTTACTTGGAATGGATGTGAGAGACTGCACAGAACATTGTGTGTCTCATGCAGAATGTCCTCTGTTCTGGAAGTTGGCCATACACTGGAAGAGAATCATAAAATGTAGGAGTGAGTGAGTGAGTTGGGTTTAACACCGCTTATAACAGTATTCCAATAATATCACGGCTTGTCAGCTTAATGTGGAAGGAAAGCCCGAAATGATGCAGGTCTCAGACGTTTACCACTTCGGTGAAACCCACCAGCATGGGTATGGTGCTGACAAACCTAGAAACATAATCGGGGCGAACCGGGATTCGAACCCACAATCATAGGTTTCTGGCGTGCCCAAGGGACACAACTCTGCACAGCGAATCGCGGTGCCTTGACCACTGGATCACCCGTGCCCCCTTAAAATGTAGGAAGACTCGACAAACAGTGAGGGAGTGAGTACGGTTTTATGATGCTTTTAGCAATATCACAGCCTAGTATGTGCCTCATTCTTCTAGCCAGGTGATGGCGATCCCCTGTCTCTGTGTATCTACTGTTTGGTCGAGTCAGGTGATAGCGATTCCAAGGGCACCAGAAATTACCATCACCAGTCATACTAAGCACAGGGCGCCATTCCCCAAAGCTATCGCAGCGATTGTTACTCCCATACTTTAACATAAGCTTACTGCAGACGTAGTGTAAGATAGCTTTGTGGAACAGGACAATGGGTTGTTACATTACACAAAACTGGTACTTTATCCAGACATATGCCAAAACTTCCCTTTGACTTCTCTGACCAATTTCATTTGATCAACATTTACCACTTTAGTGAAACAACAAGTTTTGTTTTTAAATGCCACACTCAACAATATTCCAGCTATATGACAGCGGTCTGTAAATAATCGAGTCTGGACCAGCCAATCCAGTGATTGACATCATGAACATCGATCCACGCATTGGGATATGATGACATGCATGAACCAAGTCAGCGAGCGTGACCACTTGATCCCATAAGACGCCCCTTACGACAAGCAGAGTTCCCTTTAACAGCAAGCACAGCAAAGAGTGTGACCTAAATTCAACTGAAATAAAACCACAAATAATCCAAAATTGCGTCCGGTAGTCATGTTATTGCTTTAAAAACATATGCATGAGCTGAGTGTCTCACCTCTATAGGGCGACTCCAGCTCCACTAGTTTTAGCATCAAGGTTCTCCTGGGTTTGGGTACCGAGTCATTGCCAGACTTGCTTGCTGAAGTTGCAACTATGTTCACTTGGAATGGCTGGAAACTGGCTGGCCGCTTGAGATTGTACCCTTTCAAAATTGTCTTAAAGCACCTGAAATGAACAGAATCAATACCAGGGGTGACTATTGGTCTGGAAATCACTATTGCGATAACTATTGATATTGAAAGAAACTATTGCGATAACTATTGATATTGCAAGCAACTATTGCGATAAATATCGATAGTTTTCAGTGTATCATTTTAGATGGATTTAAGAGGTGAATTAAACCTTGGAACTGATGTTTATTTGAATGTGATAACCATAACAACAAATAAAAAGTAAAGTTTGAGATATGACTAATTTGTTTTTTCTTTACACTAATAATTTAAGAAAAAGAAACTTCCACATTACCAGTGTAAATTACTCTTACTCATGATCAAAAGAAAAACAAATTTGAACAGCATTGCATGTACTTTATTGAAACTGTAAAACTATGGTTAATAAACGAAACTATCGATATTCCTAACTGAAATCAATATTATCGATTGGAAACTAATTTAACAATCGATTTATTGACTTTAAGTGCTTACCAATAGCAATATATCGATATTTTGATTTATCGTGACAGCCCTAATCAATACACCATTAAACGTAGGAAACCCAGGCAACACAAAGGCTCTTTGTTGTAATGATCAACTACAGTGCACACATAACTAGCAGGTGACACACTGATGTAAGGTGTCTTTAGGTCCTTACAAACTGGCAAATGGTACCCACATTCGCATTGAACAGTGAGTGAGTATGATTTTACGCCGCTTTTAGCAATATTCCAGCAATATCATTGCAGGGGACACCAGAAATGGGCTTCACACATTGTACCCACGTGGGTTTATGGATATGATGTAATAGAGGTAAGGTATTCAAAGGAATTATGAGCCTCACACATTGTACCCATGTTGGGAATCGAACTTTGGTCTTCGGCGTGACAAATGAACGCTTTAACCACTGGGCTATCCCACCACCCCTCGAATGGATCAGGCAAGGAGAAGTGGGACTTATTCTACGTCGTAATCCCCACAGGGACTGATATAACAGGGACTGATATAACAAACTGCTGTCACAGCATCATAGCAGTTATTTTATATCTGGGATTAACAATGCTGTATCAACAAATCTTGTACTGAACATTTGCTTACCTAAACCTAATGTAGAATGTTTTTGTTTGATCCTGAGCATCAGCCTGGCTGTCTTCTGTGGTCTCTGTAATATATACAAAGGAGTCATGCAATAACATCATTCAGACCAGTAATGCAGTACAAGCCCTGCCCATTCTATTATCAGCCAATCAGGAAATGGTACCGGTAGTTCTTAGTGGGCAAAGACTAATTTTGTTGTTGTTTACAGACACATAGACACAAAAAATATTTCATCTTCCTTGGGCAAGGAAGTTAACTGACGATAAAAGTCCAGTTTCCACCCTTGCCGAACTCGGCTGGAATTATGGAGTTACATTTTGGCCAGACTAACAAGTCTGTGCATAGTCCAATCAATATCGCGTTACGAACTTGATGTCCGGTTCATCAACTGCCTGCAGATTTCGGTTGATTGCAGGAGTTGCAAAGAATGTGTACTGTCAACATACCTTCAACAGATATTTTCTGAATCTTTTCATGTTTTTAATCAAGGTGCTCACATGATTTAATAGTTAGCAAAGTAAGACCTGTTCTATTACAATATAGATCTTGATTATGTATCAGATAGTCTACACAGGGCGCCGCCATTCTGTTTGAACCAAACAGCAGGAGGGACATAGAAGGGACGTAACTCATACGACCATCGAGCCCAGGAATTACAGCCTAGTTCGACAAGGTTGGAAACTTGACTTTTACAGTCAGTTTACTCCCTTGCCTCAGGAAGATGAAAAAATTTGGCTGGTTAGTCAAACAAATGCTAGGGAATCACTTCTAATTTTTTTAATGACACATAACAGGGTAGTTCCCACACTGTGACTGCCCAATCCATGACTTGCTAATTCAGATCTTAGTGGTTGCTTCCACAAAACAAAGATCTGATGATATCCCATTACAGGTCACGTCATAATGACCTTTTGCGAACTTCGACCGATGAATGAAATGACTTACAAGAAGTCGACATTAGCCAATCAGAAAGCAGCTTTCTCAAGCTGGACAGCACTAGTTACTGGCGACTTCCATTCCAGACTACTGTTTGAAAAATATTTTGACAAAGTTCTCAATCCAAAATTACAATAAGTGAACAAAAGAACATGGGTTGTCATTCAGAATACCCAAAGTTACCTTTTCAAGGTTGCATGATTAGAAAACATTTTCCGACTATCACATTAATGGTCTTGTAAGCAACGCTCTAACTGGTCAGGTGAAAGGTCTTTGACATGACCCATTATGGGATCTCCTCAGATCATTTGTTCGGCGAAAGCAAGAGCTAAGATCTGATTTCAATGAGATTGAAGTTAGCCACTTTGACAAAACCAACAAGCACTGCATGCTGCTAGTTTTTTTGGTTTGGTTTGTTGTTAAACGCCGCACTCAGCAATATTCCAGCTATATGATGGCGGTCTGTAAATAATCGAGTCTGGACCAGACAATCCAGTGATTAATATGATGATCATCGATCCACGCAATTGGGATCGATGACATGCATCAACCAAGTCAGCGAACCTGACCACCCGATCCCGAAGTCGCCTTTTACGACAAGCATAGTCACCTTTTATGGCAAGCATGGGTTGCTGAAGACCTATTCTTCATGGGTCTGCTGCTAGTAGACAACTGATAATGATTGAGACAAATATGTGAATCAACCCCAAAACCAGCAGATCTGGCAAGCAAAGGGAAGCAACTCTGCATTGTTCCAGCACTGCACACCACAGCATGATTTGAACAGTAGTTCAGTTATACCAACTCACTGTCGGAAGAAAGCAGACCCTTACCGCTTCAGGAAATCTCACAAGCATGGGTATGGTGCTGACAAACCAAGGATGTTCACTTGCAACAGAATATTGTTTCAACCATGCTTCAAAACATACATTTGGCTTTCTCGGAAATATATATATATTTCACCACAATACACAATCCAGCATGTCCAATTAACGATTCATGTTGGCGGGTGATAAATTGTTTAATGATGCATTTTTGACACAAATCATAATATTAAAAAATCCCATGTCACCTCCCCACAAGAATATCTGATGGCTGTCTCAGAAATCGGTGAGAATCTGGGATTCAAACTGCCCTTATATTGCCGTATCAACCGTACCTGACAGCTGAGCAAGTTCATCTACGTCGAAGTCCACCATCAAGTTATTGTTGAAAGTCAGGATGTCACGTCTGTAGATGAAGTCAGTGATTATACGTCCCTTCCAGAAATCCTGAAAAAATGAGTATATAGATATTACAGTAAAACACAGATATAGCGAACACGGATACAGCGAACAAACGGATACAACGAACTGTTAAACAATCCCCGATTTATCTCCCATATAATATCATATAAAATTTACGTATATAACAAACCCTCTACAGCGAACTAACGGATACTGCAAACTGATATCTGATCACCGACAAGCCCATCTGCCACTGATTAGTGACGTGTATAGCGAACTAAAAAATCTCACTCAGTGTCAAGTGTCACTGACAATTGGCTGTATGCAATCAGCGATGAATCAACACAATCGCAGCAAATCAACACAATCAGCGGTGACGGATCAACCTTGTTCAACTTTAATGAATTTTATGAAATGTTATCAATTAATTGCTATGAAGTGATCACTGCTACTACAAGTCAATGCTGCAATAAGGTGTATTGAGTTTTGTTTTATCCAAGATGGCTGACGTTTCCGAGCGAAAACATATATAACGAACAACGGATATAACGAACTGATTTTTGTGGTACCTTGTAGTTCGTTATATCCATGTTCTACTGTATCTACAACTACCTGTATCAAGGACGAATAAGAAAGAGAATTTCAGCATTTCTCAAACAACCCAGTTAGAGACACGTGAAATATCATCTCACCATTACCATTCCCACAAACAGGGTACATCTGGAAACTATGGCCCCTTTTTACAGTAATAACACATACAGCCGTCCCTTGTGATGCTGCTGGCCTTGGGGACCAAGGGCGCCCCTCCATTGTCAGACACCAGCATTATTCCAACATTTGAAATAAAATATCACTAGACTTGATCGTTTACCATTCCAATTGTATCCCTGTTATGCTAGGCATTGCTTTATATGCAGATATTAAAATTACCATGTGTATTTGTTTCATAAACAAGGCTGTACACACAATCAACTACCATGTTCACAAAAAGTTTAGATGGAGGTGTCTCAATGTTAACAGACATGTTGTAAACTATTTGGCCTCATAAATGGGGCAGTTCACTAAGGCCGGTGTCCAAAATAACACAGGACAACTTAGGTATTCGGTTTTATTACAAGATTATCAAGTTTGTTTGTTTGTTTGTTTGCTGTTTAACGCCGCCGCACTCAGCAATATTCCAGCTATATGACGGCGGTCTGTAAATAATCGAGTCTGGACCAGACAATCCAGTGATTAATATCATGAGCATCGATCCTCGCAATTGGGATCGATGACATGCATTAACCAAGTCAGCGAGCCTGACCACCCGATCCCGTTAGTCGCCTTTTACGACAAGCATAGTCGCCTTTTACGGCAAGTATGGGTTATGAAGACCTATTCCACCCCGGAATCTTCACGGGTCGATTATCAAGTAATTGTTTGCATTATTTCAATAGAATCAAGACAAGATTTGACTTAGTTTTTGTGATTTTTCAATATTTATAATGCCTGAATGCAAGCAGTTAACTTTGAAGATGGGCGGGCAACACTTATGGGTCACCTGCCTGACTGTCTTGTTTGCTGTGGAGGATACAAATGTCTTATACTTCTATTACTTAAGAACGACATTTTATGTTAAAAGAGATTACTATCCTTGTGTGTATCTGTAATGTAAATATAATGTCAGTAAACGAACTCAAAGGGACCACAAAATTTTAGTTCGTTATAACCGTAATTCGTCATGAGCATATATACAGCAAATGGCAAGGAATAAAAAAATATTAACGTAGTTTACAGTATTAGGAATGGAAGATGTGTATTTTTCTTGCAAAAGGCTTGCATAATACCATTTCTATTCCTGTTATCAGATCGTCATTAAAACACTCTCGTGAATTAACCCCTCTTGATATAATTGTTTAGTTTTACTTACAATGGGATATTCCAGTTTCAGCATCAAGGAGGGCGTCACCTGGTGCACGACATGCTTCTTCATGGAAATCAGGATGATGAGGTCATGCTGCAACACAGAGTTAACTCCCTTGAATCAGGTCATATTTTAAAACATGAATTTTGTCCATACCCAACCAGCTTGCCGTAGTAGGCAATTTATCAAGACAAAATCCCATTTCAAACCCTTTCTAACAAATTTGAATTCTGTCAAATTTATACCATATTTGTTTCAGGTGTGTCTGAGCGCCAGATTGGGTAAAATCTTTTGACATCTTTGGTATGAGTGAGTGAGTTGGGTTTAACGCCGCTTTTAACAGTATTCCAGTTATATCACGGCGTGCCAGGTTAATGTGGGAGGAAAGCCCGAAGTGATGCAGGTCTCAGACGTTTACCACTTCGGTGAAACCCACCAGCACGGGTATGGTGCTGACAAACCTACAAACATAATTGGGACAAACCGGGATTCAAACCCACAATCATAGGTTTCTGGCGCGCTGAAGGGACGCAACTCTGCACTGCGAATCGCGGCGCCTTCGCCGACTGGGCCACCTGTGCCCCCTCTTTGGTATGATGTGGCTGGAGGCATTAACACCCGACCTTCCACTAGACAGACACTACATGAATGAGTGAGTATGGTTTTACGCCGCTTTTAGCAATATTCCAGCAATATCAAGGCGGGGGACACCAGAAATGGGCTTCACACATTGTACCCATGTGTGGAACCGAACCCAGGTCTTCAGTTGGGCTGAGAAAACGCTTCACCCACTGGGCTACCCCACCGCCCCAGACACTATATGAGCTACACCATGGTGCCTGTTTCATGGTGTAGAAAGTTTTCGGTACTTACGTCCGATTTTGTGAGCAGCCTGCTGTCCATCTTGGGGGTGGGCAGACTGACATGTTCATTCTGACACATCTGGCTTGTTGGGACACTCTTCATGTCTGTGAAACATTCATACAGTTTGAAACTGTGGTCGACAAACATCATTCTAACAATACACAAGTTGTACATGTACAAACAAACAAGATCTGCAATAGTCAATTGGTAGTTGTAAACTTTGATTATCCACAAACCATACCATTATTTTTCAATTTACTCTTAATATTTGAATTTTCAGCTAAGATTACTTCAACGGAGTACTTACATGAATGTGTTCTGGCGGCCAATTTACTAAGCTGTCATAGCACTAAGATTACCGTAAAGGTGTCATTGTAAAATAAATCTTGAAGCCGTTACAACTCTAATTAGGAGTTCACAACAGGTACAATGGCACCCAAAAGACGGCATGTTTAAGAAAACAATTTGACAGTATGGGTCAATCTGGGGAATAACCTGATTAATCAATGACGTCACACTGAAACACCCAAGTTTGTTACCTCTGTCACAAAAGAACTCACTGTCTAAGCTAAGACTTGTGTTGTCAGTAAGATAACATTGTGAAAGGTTTAAGACAGCTTCAAAAATAGCTCATATGGCAGTTGTAATTCTTATGGATAGTCGCTAAGATTTTTCTCAGCAAAGACAGCTTCGAGAATAGGCCGTCTGGTTAAATTACACAAGGGAGATAACTGAGTAAAATTGATCAAATTAAACAAGGGAAATAACTCAGGTCAAGGGACACAACTCACCAGTGATCTTGCGGACACTGTCAACTACATGCTGTAGTGTAGACAGAGTGCTCATCTTGCGCCGGTTGGACGGGCCAACCATGGACACCAGAGTTTTTAAGTATTGTTTAACCTTTTCCTTCTTCATCTGGCTGTTGCGGGCACCATACGCCATGTCGCTGCTGTTAAAAGAAACAAACAAAGCTGAGTGAGTTGTTTCTCACAAATTCACCAACATTCTAGCTTCATCACAGCATCCGTTAGAGTCAGGAATGATGCACTCAATCTGTCACAACACAACACAGACCCTGATCATCATTGTGGTCGCTCTTACAACATGCTTGTGAGTGAGTGAGTGAGTGAGTGAGTGAGTGAGTGAGTGAGTGAGTGAGTGAGTGAGTGAGTGAGTGAGTGAGTGAGTGAGTGAGTGAGTGGGATTTAATATATTTTACCAGTATTCCAGTTATATCGTGGCGTGTCAGCTTAATGTGGGAGGAAAGCCTGAAGTGATGCAGGTCTCAGACGTTTACCACTTCGGTGAAACCCACGAGCACGGGTATGGTGCTGACAAACCTACAAACATAATTGGGGCAAACCGGGATTCGAACCCACAATCATAGGTTTCTGGCGTGCCGAAGGGACGCAACTCTGCACTGCGAAACATGTTAAACAAAATAACATCAACTCCCACAATTCAAAAGTTTTGGGTCCTTGATTGCATAATGACAATCTGTGCCAAATACTTTTGAGTCCATTACCACTCACCTATCTGCAACATTTTGCGAGTGAGTGAGTTGGGTTAATGCAACTCAAACTAGAGCTGGGACGAGTCCAAATTTACTACCCGGGTACCTGAGTTACCCGTCCCTGCCCTAACTTGACCAGTATTCAAGTTTCATTATGCGATGTCAGCTTTATCTGGGAGGAAAGTGAAGTGAGGCAGGTCTTAGAGGTTCACCATCTTGGTAAAACCCAGGAGCACGGCTATGGTGCTGACAAACCTTGGAACGATATCCTAAATACCGTATTCGACGTAATAAGCACCCCGCTCTAATAAGCGCCAATGGCGATAATTGCTAACATATTAGCTAGTGAACAATCCAAATTAGCACCCCTTCTGATTGATCAATGTACACAAGACTTTTATATTCGCGTATAATACGCAATCATATGTTATATGCACCCTTAATTATGGGCAATTAAATTCTAGAGAAATATATCTGTCGTACATAAACATTTCAGGCTGTCAGCATAAACCACGAAATTTATCTTTCAACTCTGTTTTTTCCACCAACATAATATTCTAATAAGAGCCCACTATTTGTAATTTTGAGAGCACCCTGGGTGCCTTTTACGTCGAATACGGTAGTTTTTAATGTTAATACATGGGCTACTATGAGTGAAAAGTTACTGGTCACATAAGCTACATTTGTAACCAGTGTCATAATACCCAACTGTCCTAGATGGGCCACCTTTGAGTGTCAACTTTTAAAACATGCGTGTCAGATGGTCTGCCAAATGCACTTGAGTTGTGGGATGACGGAAGACAAACTTGACACAATTTATGGATAACTACTTCTTCAAAATACTATTGGCATAAGAACAACACTTCAGCATAGATCCTAATACTGTTATCAAGCAAGACAGTCTTAACATAAAAGATGTTATACGTAAACTGTGTCTACCATGGTCTACTCTGATATGAACTTGTATCGTGAGAGGCATTCAGATAATACATAGTCACACTGCAAAATGTTGATTTCAGAAATCAAATAACATGTATTCAATTTGATGCCGAAGGGAGCTGCCCCTGTATGAATGGGAGAGACTTCTGTAGTGGTTGGTGGTGGTGGTGGTGTTATATCTTAGGAGCCTATCTCAATTGCAATGGCCACATTTAGAAGAGACTTCTGGCCTCCGACCACAGTCACTTCCCCTCATAGTTTTAGCATTACCATATTCTACGTAATAAGCGCCCCGCGCTATTAAGAGCCCACGGCAATATTTGTTAATATATTGCCTAGTGAACAATCCGAATTAGCACCGTTTCCAATTGATCAATGTACGCAAGACTCATTTGTTCGGGTATAATACGCACTCGTGAGTTATAAGCTCCCTTAATTATGGGCAATTAAATTCTGGAAAATATATCTGTCGTGTATAATATGCACTTTTCTTTTGTATCATTTCAGGCTGTCAGCATAAACCACATAATTTACGATGTTTCAACTGTTTTTTTCGCACCAAAATTTTATACTAATAACAGCCCCCTATTTCTAATTTTGAGAGCGCCCTGGGCGCTTATTACATCAAATACGGTACCTTGAATTTTTTTTGTGAAAATGGACATATGGATGCATAGAGCGATATTCTCTGAGAGTTGTCTCTCTTGTCTTACCTGCAGCCGCTTGTAGAAGGTTGGTCGTCCATACTGCTGAAGGAGAAACTTAAGCTGCTGCTACTACTGCAAAAGAAGAAATACAGTTGTCAGTATCAATCTAAGACGAGAGTGAGTGTGTTTGGTGAGTTAAATTGAACAGTTTTACAGTTATAACATGGACATTTCAGTTAGATGTCAGAGGAAAGCCCGAAGAGATGCAGGTCCTAGATGCTCACCACATTGGTGAAACCCATGGTGCAGACAAACCTGGAAACATAGTCAGGGTAAATCGGGATTTGTACCCATGTTTTTGTCATGGCTAAGGGACACAACTCTGCTCTGCCTCACAGACAGTGCCCCAGTTTCAGTCTAAACAGCCTTGCATGTTCTAGCTCAAACATTAAGACAAAAACAAAGACTACCTCCATCAAAACTCAGTGTCTAGCTGAAAGTGATAAACAGGAAAAATGATATAATCACCATTAGCATGATTGACTATGCGGTGTTGAAAAATATACCGTTTATCACCCAAACTCAAAACCTTCACATCACAAGCTATAGTCTGGAAGGTAATTTAAGGTTCCGACGTTTACTACCATATCTGAAAAACTATCGGACCTACTCCAGTCAAAGTTGGTATGAGATTATTAAACAGTCATACATAACTGGATATTACATTTAAAGACAACTCGAAAGGGTGCACGGGAATCACGCACGCACGAATACGGTGTATTTATAAACTACACACAAAGTACATAATAAATAGGGATATTCAGTGTGTCTCGTGAAATAGCTTGTTCCTCTTCTCTCGTGATGCGGGAAAGGAGATATTTTCTCTCATGGCTGAGGTACGGTACTATAATGTGTTTGTTTACATTTGAAATTTCACCTCGCTGTAAACATGGTGAATGAGTGAAAGAGAGTGAATGAGTTTGGTGTTACACTGCTTTGCTTAAGCTTGTAAACCTGAAACGATGCATGTCAAGACGCTTAACACTTTGGTGAAACCCTCAGGTATGCTTACAAACCTTGAAACATAACCAGGGCGAACCGGGATTTAAACCCACAATCATAGGTGTTTGCACATCTAAGGGACACAACTCTGCACAGTAAAGTGTGCCACCTTAAACCAGTGAATGCAGATCATCCAAAATGGCCTCAAATTACTGGGCCACCTGTGCCAAGGTAAAATATGAAGTTGCTTATAAAGTTCCAAAGTATTTCAAAAGACAAACTTGATAGATTTTGTAACAGTAGAAAATGAAATAGAAATGTCAGAACATATCATAATACTGTTCCAATCAATGTTTCGTACATAGAAATGTCTCTGTATCTTTCACTATGAACAGCAGTACTGCAAGCAGCATTTGCATAACACACAAACAGCCAATCGTAGCTCTAGCACTTATCAGCAGTTGTACTGCAAGCAGTAATTACAAATCACACACACAGCCAATATTGACTCATACCCGCGAGAGAGCAGGTGTTATAACTGCATTTGCATATCTATGTAAACACAGCGAAGTGGTCATATTAAATAACATCATAACAGGTCGCGATAATTTTCGTTACCAGCTTTACCCATGAGCAAAGCAACTGCGCAACTTACCATTGATAAAGGTTAAGTTAATGTTAACTCGGTAACGACAAGGAATACCATCACTCACAAGGCGAATTGAATTTTGTTTCAACACAGTTGAAATTCCTAGTTTTTAATAGCCTCATTCACGAAAAGGCTTTGAAACATATTGTTGACCGACAGCTCAATGTCTGTCTGTGTGCATTGTATTGCCTTGCAGTGTGGCTTATTTTGAGATGTTTACACAATAGTGTCTGCTGTTTGCTATGCCTATAAATATAGAAACTAGGACATGTTTACAATTTAAAGGCAAGCTACATTTCAGAGATACAGTTGTATTTGACTTGTCTGGCAACAAACAAACAATAACGTTGTTGGGCAAATTGTGTGAATGGTGGATGCTACCAGTCATGCAGGCCATCATAACTGATTATGAGTTTTCGTTTCATATAACTTTCATGACTATTTTGTTTTTTAAGATTAAATAGAATTGGGTCGCAGGTAATCTAGACGTGTTATTCCCTGGAGTTGTTGATTTGAACCCAGTTTTACAATACAATCTCTTTTGAAAAAAAACCCAAACATTTCTCTTTTCTTTTCTCATTGCACCATTTTAAATCTTGTGTCGTTTATCCAGACTGTCATGCACATGGCTGGGACAATTAAGACCAAGGCCCAACACTACCAAGTATGGTATATAAAAAGAATCAATGTCATCTGACACTTCCCGATTTGTCCGGAAAGTTATCTGATTAGTGACCCTTATCAAGGTGGCCCATCAGGGAGTCCCGTCTGACCTGGATAGCCTTAGTCTCATACCGTATTTGACGTAATAAGCGCCCCGCTCTAATAAGCTCCCACAACAATATTTGCTAATATATTGACTAGTGAACAATCCCAATTAGCACCCCTTCCGATTCCAATTTATTTATTCGCGTATAATACACACCTGTGTGTTGTATGCACCTTTAATTATGGGCGATTAAATTATGGAAAAATATATCTGTCGTAAACATTTCAGGCTGTCAGCATAAACCACGAAATTTAACTCTTGTTTTTTCCACCAAAATAATATTCTTATAAGAGCCCCCATTTCTATTTTTGAGAGATCCCTGGCTGCTTATTACATTGAATACAGTAATCAACTGGTCATTAAATCCATGTTGTGAATTATTTAACATTTTAATTATCTAAATGTGAAAACAGTAAAAAACAGTAGTGAAAAAGCTTGCCAACTATGACATTCCAAAATTGACCTGAAGGCAATGACAATATAACATTGATTCAAAGCATGAGCATGTCATGCCAAACACATTCTGTGGTGAAATATCACACTTCTGCTGTAAAATTACCAAAAACCATGATGATAAGACTATTTAAAAAAAATGTAAATTCCATTTGCTCCTCAAAAATTCATATACAAACATTTATGGTAAGATGTGAACATGGTATGTAGTCATAATACCACAAAAATGTTTAAAAGTGAGAATTATTTCTTTCAAATTTCTTTTTATTGTAGGATTCATCTTTTGTCTGTTTGAATTGCATACAATATTTTGGCATCATTCCATGTGCAAAACTTGATAGAAAATCTTGAAAATCCTGAAAAATAGTTTAAAATTAAAACTAGGCAAATTCCACGATTTATTGTAATTCAGCAGTAAGTCCCAGAGTTCACTGCTTATACTCACTGCTATTTGGCACAATTCATACTTAGAATTACTTTCATCATTGATCAAACAGATCAGTCAGCTAGTCCAAAGCCTGAGTCCAGTAACATTCTGTTTTCCTCAGCTTATGATCCATACATTAACATTAACTCTATTGACAATGATGCATTCATGCAATGAGCGGGCTTGTAGACTCAAACGCTTTTGGCACAAAGTGTATCAATACTTATTTTCTATGTCAAACTACCTATTAATATCAGGATTAAAAAACTTGAATCTCATCTCAACAAACATTATTTATCAAATAACACATTTCTTCACAATTGATCATAACCAATGAATGCATTGTTACAGGTTTTGTTTTTGGCTTAACACCGCATTCAGCATTGTAAAGCTTTATGACGCAGCCTGTAAATAGTTGATTCTAGACCAGACAATCCAGTGATCATTATTGTGAGCTATGACCAATAGTGTCGGGTACGATGAAACAAGATCAAGAACGTCGAGTCTGACCACCCTATCCATTAGGTCGCCTCTTTCAACCAGCATAGGTTGCTGGGTAGGGCTGGGATGAGTCCAAATTTATTACCCGGTTACCTGACCCCCTATTACCTGACCCGTTAATTTCGGTACAAAAATTGTTTAGATATGGTAACAAACAATCAGATTGTACATACACTGAAGTTGACTGAAGCTTTGTCTTTAAAAGTCAGAAGGAATGTGCACATTGTCTTTTGGCCTGACAGATTAACTATGGTAATACGAAAGAATTGGGTGTTCTTAAACTTCTTTTGGCATGACAGATTAACTATGGTAATATGAAAGAATGGGGTGTTCTTCTTTTGAATAGTATATATCACATTTACCATTGCCATGGTTACCGCCATAATCAGTTAAATAAATACCTCATCCTTGGTTCCATGGTTGTTGCAAAAGAAGAGTTTGTTTTAGAAAGTTGTTTCCAGGAGACAAGCCCTTGTTTTTCTCATGCGCTGGATGATCTTGTGTTTGTAAAAAAACAGTTCATCTACATCTCATACTGTGTCGCCCGCTTGACAAAGGTGGGAGATAACACAGAAATAGATATCAATAAACAGTTCTTAAACCAGGAGTGTTGTTGTTAGAGCAGGCCTCAAAGTTGCGACTAAAATGGTCGCCAAGGCAACTTAAATTTCAATTTGTCCACTGTCTAAAATTCAGAGGTAGCCAAATGGCTATTTTGAAAAATATCTTGTGGCGACTAAATTCTATTTCTACACATCTGAAGACACAAAAATATTTAACAGTTGATCTTAGAAATACGCCTGCTAATAATTGTGCTCGCAAAGTTCCTCCTAAAGATGACTATGAATCGAAATAACATAAATATTAATGTAATTAGTACTTTATTTTAGTTGACAATGCTCATTGGATAAGCAAGGATATACCTATATAATCTAGTAACATAAGTTGCTGAGTCACTAGTAACAAAAGTCAAGTACAGTTTCCACTAATATACAATTCCAAGAATAGTGTTATAACTTGTACATATTGAAATAGTTTTTTGATAAAAGATAATTTCAAATGCTTTTGGCTACCTACAATATTGGCTTGACTTCTTGATATTACCCCTGGCTACCTGGCAAAAAAATACTTGTAGCCATATGGCTACTTGGTAAAAATTTAAACTTTGAGGCCTGAAGAGGAGGGTTCAAATGGGTGATGGGCATTAGTCAGCAGCCAGTAAATATAGGGGCTGTCAGGTATTAATTTATTAGCTTGTTAATAATCAATACAATAGAATTGTCAAATATATTTGTGTAAAAGTGAATGAAAGTGTAAGTCTATAAGTGTAAAAAGCTTGGAAAAGTTGCATCATATCCAAATTGCAAAGTAAACGCTGCACTCAGCAAATATTCCAGCTATATGACGGTAGTCTGTATACAATCAGGTCTGGACCAGACAATCCAGTGATCGAAATCATTCGCATTGAATTAAGCAATTGGGATACGATGACATGCATCAACCAAGTCAGCGATCCTGACCACCTGGTCCAATTAGTCACCTCTTACAAGCATAGTTTGCTGAAGATCAATTCTAACCCGGGATCTTCACAGAACTCGTTTTACAAGAACAAGAATCAGACAGAAAATTGGTACGTGACAGTGGCACATGCACTCCTGGGCTAGGAGCCAAGAAGGGAAGTTTCACAGCGTTACCTGGTTGAATATTCGGAGTGAAAACTCCAAGATGTGGAATCTTCGCGGTCGGACAACACCCTCTCCAACAGGTACACACCGGTCATCATCAAGTCTTGGAATGTCACTGACCAAGTTATATTGTAATGACCAACCAAAGTTAGATGGCAAAGTTAAAGTTTCAAAAATATGCTGAAGTTTTGTCCCAGTAAGACAAGTCCAATCAAGTGTGTTTCCTTTCAAAAGGTAACTCCATTGGAAACACACAAACAAGTAAAGAAAAACACAATCTGAGTTGCCATTATGATCAAGGATCGCAAATTGTCACAAATTTCCAGAAGAGCAGTGGGAGAAATCCAATGGTTCAACTCAATATAGGTCCATTAAAAGTCTCAGCTTCTGTCACCAATGTCATCTCCAAACCAGAGTAAGTAAGTTTCCTTCCTGGCAAATGCTTGATAATCGTTAAACTGCTGATTTCGCTGAACCAGGAAATCTTGAGAGCCTTCTTGTGGTACACCTATCGCAGTATACAGGTTTGTGACTGACATGACTGAAGGAAGATAGACTCCAAGGCTCAAAGAATGGACTGAACCCGCCCAAACCCCACAAGGCAACTGGTGCAGGGGCCATCTGACTGGTGCAGTCTCCGTGTATGTCAATATTACAGCTATACCAGGCTTCCATGCCTCGGACAATACACACCAACAACATAATTTCCTGTCAACAACTTCCTTCAACCCTATTGGTAGATTTTCAAGATGTTATCTCCATTGGCTGCAATATGTTGGGTCGGTTTCAAGTTTGTTTGTGAACTGGGGTACAAGTAAACAAACATGGCTTTGTCTTCGACTGACAGAAATATCTGATTGCTGCAAACAGCACAGTTCATGTAAACAGCTTTGTAGAATTTGGACATGTCTGGTTTGCTTTTGAATTTGTGTCATACGTTTCTTGCCGTCTGCTTCCGTACACACCTGAAGGGAGATCCTCAATGCTGATTAACTGAAGAATCTCTACGCCATATATCAACCAAGAGAGATTTCTGGGGGGCAGATGTGACCAATGATGTCATCCTAACTCAATCTAACTGTTCAGGCCCAAAGTCATATCAACCAAAACCTTACAGTATGCAGTCTGAGCCAAAACCTTTTGCCTCTACTCGCTCTACATGGCTCTCAACACCAGTTTCAGTAGATTTGATGTTTTACAGTGGTATTTCAGTGATATCACCGAATATGGACAATATAGCTGATGTGTAGTCCAAACAGAATTTTACTTGACTCTTGGCTTCAGATTAGTGGCTAAAGCTGCAGACATGAGCATGACTAACATGCCTTGACATCAAGTGAGTGAGTGAGCATGGTTTTACGCCGCTTTTAGCAATATTCCAGCAATATCACGGCGTGGGACATCAGAAATGGGCTTCACACATTGTACCCATGTCGGGAATCGAACCCGGGTCTTCGGCGTGACGAGCTAACGCTTTAACCACTAGGCTACACGACCGCCCCACCCTGACATCAATACCCATTCAAATGTGACCTCACCGAAGTATCTGACATGCCATTACGACAACCGCACGTCACCACAGCAACTTGAGGCAACATAAATAAAAAGACTTCAGCAACAATGATTTAAAAAAAAATATGAAATCTCCATAATTCTAGTTAATGTCAATGTTGAAAATCCAAACAGTGTTATCACACTATCAATAATTTTTTTATCTTTTTTTTATGAAGAGTATATGCTGTATCTTATGATGTTTATGCAGATATATTCTGAAAAGCAGTCGAATAGTTTTCCACCCCTAAATGTGCTGCTCAATGGCTGCTACTTACCCTTGTGCCAGGGAGCCATAGTTTGAAGAACTTGGTTTAGATTTGTCTTCAGGTAGTTTGTAACCCCTGTACATAATGGGTCCACGGAAGTAAGCTGGAACCAAAATAATAACTATTACATTTACAATAAGCATAGAAGCCCATGTATTAACATTAAAAACTACCGTATTCGACGTAATAAGCGCCCAGGGCGCTCTCAAAATTAGAAATAGGGGGCTCTTATTAGAATATTATTTTGGTGAAAAAAAGAGATTGAAAGATAAATTTCGTGGTTTATGCTGACAGCCTGAAATGTTTAGGTACGACAGATATATTTTTCCAGAATTTAATTGCCCATAATTAAGGGTGCATATAACACACGAGTGCACATTATACGCGAAAAATATAAGTCTTGTGCACATTGATCAATCAGAAGGGGTGTCAATTGGGATTGTTCACTAGCCAATAATTTAGCAAATAACGCCGTGGGCGCTTATTAGAGCGGGGCGCTTATTACGTTGAATAAGGTATTACATTTACAATAAGCATGGTTTCACATGCAACACAAATGTTCATCCAGTACGCACAAATGTAGAAAATGGATGCAGAAAACAAATATACTGCATCCCGAAGGACGCACAATAATATTCACTGTAGTTACAGTGCATCAAGATCAGTGATTGGTGTCTGTTATTTCATCCAACAATAGCGAGTGAGTTAAAGTTTAACGTCACATCGGCAATATTTCAGCCATATCGTGACGACTATCCATCAATCATGACCACTGTCTCTTGATCCTTGATTCAGTCCGGGCTCTAAAGTAATTATCTAAACATACAGTGCACTTCACCATTACGTTACTTTACAGGACCCTCATATTGCCTGCAAGGACCCTTAAAGTAATTATTGGGGGTCGCCTGGACCCCCAGTTTTGTAAGTCATGGTAAAACCCTGAATAAGTAAACAAAAAATATATTTTGATAGCAAACAGAAAAAAATATTAGATTACAACATGTAAACAAAAAAAACAATATTGCAATAAGTTAACCAAAATATTCCCATAAGTAAACATTATTAGACAACTATTAAATTACAATAAGTAAACAAAAATAATAATTGTAAGTAAACATTAATTAAACAGCAATTATACAATAAATATATGTAGTAAACAAAAAATAATCTGAAAAGCAAACAGCTAGATCTATAAACAAATACAAAACATCATAATATTATTAATAAGCAAACAATAAGGTGAGGTTTAATTAAGAAATAATATTGTGTTGGATTACTGGAGTATGAGTGCTTTGAACCGTGCAAGTTAAACTTGTGTAATACAGTCTTAGTACCTCTGAGGGACCAATTCAAAAGGTCGATGTCTATAAAAAAATGAAGACCTCAGTTTTGAGACATACACACACACCCAATTAAAAAATTATGAAAATGATGAATTTCCAAGTTTAGTCGCCTCTTTTGTCCCACATTATCGTGTTTCCCTGTTTTTTACAGAATGTGTATTAAATGAAGTTTATTTACTAGGTCTTGACAATCATTTGTAGTGTTTTTATGGATCAAATCTGTCATCATATATTATGCACTGCACAAGATGGCGATGATAAAACCCTACCTTGTGGAAAGAACGGATGTACTTAATTGACAACACTAAACATAATATGGATGAAAATAGGATTGGTCTAGTTCAGTTATTACATAAAACATTGAGAAATCAGGTCAGATAGAGTGAGTGAGTGAGTTGGGTTTAACACCGCTTTTAACAGTATTCCAGTTATATCACGGCGTGTCAGCTTAATGTGGGAGGAAAGCCCGAAGTGATGCAGGTCTCAGACGTTTACCACTTCGGTGAAACCCATGAGCACGGGTATGGTGCTGACAAACCTAATCGGGGCGAACCGGGATTCGAAACCCACAATCATAGATTTCTGGCGTACCCAAGGGACGCAACTCTGAACAGCGAATCGCAGCGCCTTAGACAACTGGGCCACCCGTGCCCCCCCTGTCAGATAGAAGGCTTGCGGGGCCATTAACACGCCCACCCGTAAACTTAAGGAATCTAAGATTTTTATCCGACATCAAACTTTTGGTCCCTAACTGGTCTGCTTGTTTCTAGTAATATGACACTACTTTGG